TCTACCAGAAAGTGTTGTGACGGCACCGAGTGTGAGCTCTTTCAAGAGAAGACTTGACCAACACTGGAGCGGGTTCAGGTACATTCAGGAGCCGGTGCATGCCCAGTATTTGCCAACAGTGCGTGACAGAGACGTGACCGATCGCCCGGGCGGCTAGCGAGCCGACCTTTTGGTGAAGAATATAAAGGAAAGAGTCGTGACCGATCGCCCAAGCGGCTAACAAGCCGATCAGTGGCGACGAGGATAAAAGTAAAAGTAAAGTTGTAAGGGTATAACGAGGTATTCAGTAGTTAATGCCACTACAAAGGTGCCCATAATTGTAAGGTGTGCTTGTAAAGAATATATTAATAACTTGTATATTGCCTTAGTCATTCATCCGGATCTCAGATATATCATGGATCTTGCCGCTGTCAGGTGCAGTTGACCCCCGCAACAATGTTAAAGCATGAATGGTATTGTATCCCAAGTTGTAATTTTTGTCATATACATCTGTAATTCAAGTGTTAATATCTGTGATGATTAGAGGTATTTGTCGAAATGTTAGTAAATAATTATGTTGCTGTGTCCATACATTGGTCTGTTATTCTTCATAGATAACTGTCTCAGATGGACACCGACGTACCATACAGTAGATACACGACGCTGTTCAGCGTATAGTATAGAACCTCCTCTGTGTGCCTGGGGCATAGGACCACCTCATCAGCACCAGGAATGGCAGCCCTAGATGCTCAATTTGGCTAGTTGATAGTTTGAAATTCAAGAAATATAGCAAGAAACCTTAAGGTTGATATATCATGGAGTGCATGATATAACAGTGAGTTACTTGAGGCAGTGGTGTGCTTAATTACTCGTACAGCTGGCTGCTATTGTGTTACGCCAGAGTGGTGCAACAGAAACGGAAAACATTGCCTATCATATCAAAGTGTCTATTTATTTCTTAGCGTTCGTGTTTGTATTATTCATGTACATTGTACTTTAGTTAGGCATGGAATGTTAACATAAGCATTAAACATTTTATTTTACATCACTATATTAACGGAAAAGACAAAATGACTCCGTCTGAGCATCGACAGATATGTTGACTAAACATAAGTAACATGAACATCCTTACGTCGCATATAACCAGATTCACCGTGATCAAACGCGTAGCTTAGATAAAGGGCAAGGAGACAGGTGCCATCCTGTCACAAAACTGGAATTCACGAGCGCTTCTTTTAAGATTACTTGGCTTAAGACCTCCTCATTATTAACAAACTTGTACCTTAGAGGAGACCAACTTAACAAGCAGGATCAGTATAAGAATACAAGTCACTTGCATTTATGATCTAGATTTCAGGTGACGTACTTCACAAGGCCACAAATCCTAATCGCTCAACGAAGGAAATAGTTTACCCGAGCTGCAAGCGCGCAGTTTCCAAGCGAGTAAATACGATGACATGTTTGATTACAGTTAAAATATGACCGGAACAGCTTCTCACTATTGTACTAATTACAGTTCCAGAGTTGTCTGAAGATCTTGGAATATACAGACGCAGAACTGCTGTCAGGAGCACACCTGCGCATTCTATTGGAAAACTACGTCGTTGGGCATACAGTATCCGGACATTCGGATGTACATACCTCTGAGCATGTTCCAGTGTTGGTCAAGTCTGTATTTAAAGCAGCTCACACTTGGTGCTATCACATCAATCACTGACAGGCTATGCCAAAATTATTTATTACACTGGAGGAGCGCGGCCGAGTATATACAGTAGTCTGTGTTGGTGAGGCGGCTGAGTCCCACCACCAGTCTGATACACCTAATCTGGTTTCAGATTCTCAAAAAGTCTGCGTTAAATTTTCGCCACCATTTCCCACATTGTTTTATGGGGAGTATGACTGTCTCTTTAAAACTACATCACCAGCCTCAGGTATTCATACAAAACTCTTTCACCATCACTTCCTCTGCCCCCTATCTGGTGTGCTCTCCAGGTTAAGCTCTACATTATTTCTCTTCATATTGTAGGCTTTCTCCACCCCATCTCATTGTATTTACCCCTTCATAAAAAGTTAACTTAGCACGGTATACATTTAACTAAATGAATGTCACTCCCGTGCAACAAACAACTATTATTATTGTTTGTTTTTTTCCTAGTCTTCCGTGGCACATGTACTATAGTTCCCTTCTTGACCTTCTCCAATAAAGTTGGAAAAAAAATAAACATATGACGCAAGAACAGTTAATATAAAGATGGGCGTTGTTCTGGCGAGAGTGAACGTTTGTTGCGTTTTTACAGAATCTGTCTACTGAGAAATTCACCGGGGAATCCCTTGAAATGCCCCCATCCACTTGCCGGTGCTCGTCAGGTTTATTATTGTTACTTGTAGACTGTAAACTGGCGCTAAGATTATATACAGACACAACAACAGACAGACAGACACACGAGCAGGCAGAGACAGACGCGAATCGACTGACTTACAGAAAACGTTTCATTGCCGGTATGTATGTGTAAGTTATTGAGTAATAATAATTAACGATTTATTGAAAGAACATGACAGCCGAAAGGCTGAAAGTATAGTTACATAATTGGGGAATGGGTCACTTGATTGACAAATAATATACAAGTAACAAAGTAATGCATTTTGTGTATACGTGTGTGTAATAATAGGTGTCTTGTGTATGTTACTGAATATTGTGTTGCGTGTATGTGTGCAGGTTACTTAGTCGACTTAACTTCCTGGAAATATAAAGTTCTGTAGCTTCACATGCATTTGTTACAACGGCATGAGGTATAGGTAGGTGGGTGGGAGGGTTTTACTGTAGGTGGATGAAAATGAGAGGCACGCAGGGTTGTATGACCCACCAGTTTGGCGAGTTGACAACCCACTGGGTCTTCCCTGGCACATCCTCCTCTGAGCTTCTTACGTATTTACTTCCCTCCTTACAACACCTCTTTACCCCCCTCACACTACCCTCTTCCCATCCCTTAAACTTTATCGTGTGTGTAGTGGTGGTCGTAGTGAGCGACAAGGACTGTACAAGAGGTGATCCTGTGGGGTACGTGATGTTTGGGTTCACACTCAGGATGGGATGGAGAAATGAAACTCACAATGTGCTCTCTGTATACATGTTGTATTGGATGTACAATGCAGCTTGGTGCTGGGAAGTGCAGCGTGGTTACAAGCGTGATGTAGAGAGAGCTGGTTGGTGAGGATGCTCAGAGGACAGCTTGTGGGTCGCCATGCTCGCCGGCGGGAGCGAGGGCTGCCAGGAAGCGGCGGAGGAGGTGGTGTTGCTTGCTGCGGCTGTAGCTACAAGAAGAGAGAGGTCACCACGAGGTCAGGTCTTTTATAGCGGAGGTAGGCGTGGGTAGATAGTTGACCTCCGCTCCGTGGGCGGCGCTGGTTGACCTAGACCACGAGGCATACACTGGGGAATTCGTGGGGTCGGCCACTCAGCGACAAGCGTTTGTAGGGGAGAAATCCACTACAATCCATCTCGAAGTATGAAGAAGACAGGAAGAAAATTGAATTGAAAAAAGATAGACTTAGAAAAATTACAAGAAACGGTTATAATACCTTTCTTGCGTCATTTATATTTCGTATTCCACCTTACCTAAAAGAAGGAAAGTTCCCCAGTTCACGACATTCCTTACAGCTACATCGGGATATAATAACACGATATTTACTGCTGAGTGAAACATGTGGTTGAGACACAGGGGGAAGTACGCTATTCTCATACTGCCTCCGCGTCCTTCAGTGAATTGCAGCAAATAATCGCTGAAAAGCCTCTTTTCATCAGGAATGGCACAGATAAACATAATAAACTGTCGTATTTGTTTTAGGTAATTCCTAGTAGTTCGTTTCTTCTATAGTTTAATATAATTAAGTTATATTCAGGGTATAAGTGGTACAGCACTAACTATCTTGCCTCTCACCACTGCAAAATTATGGGGGTCCCACTTCAGTTGGACATGAACAAGGTGTTTTTTGAGTGAACTTTCTGAACACGTCGGATTTTCTCCGGGAATTCTGGTTTTCTGTTGTAATTCGGAGAGGAAAAGAAGGTCCATAGACAAAGTTCATATTGTTGTTGTGGTATAGGTATGTTGCTGTAGTTAACTCCGGGTATTAACACTCGATTGAGTATACACATTAATAATTAAATCAGAAAAAAAAACATTCGTTGATGACAAGTGCTAACAGGGGCTAAAGATCAGGTTAACCCCCATTCCTTTATCATTGCTTATGATGAGATGAAGAGGTACATGTGTAAAATACCTAGTTGTCCTAATTAAATAATAAAAATACTTTACAATACACAGGAGCCATGTAGTGGAAGCTCCAAGTATTAAAAGACATTTAAAAGACGAGTACGACTATGAAGCAGCTCTGAGGTTACCGGTGTAGCGGACCCGAAGTTGCCGAAACGATAACTGCGCATGTGCGTTTGATGACATTACAGCTTACCAGGCAAAGACTATTATTAGTATTATAGTCTTTGATACCAGGAGTTGCCGCCCACTAGGTAATTTACTTCTGGTCCGCGTATAGGCGGACCAGAAGTTCCCCGTACCGAAAATTACAATTCTGCCCTCATGGGCGTCCTCAGAACTTGCCTGGCTTATACTACAGTCCGGGGCAACTTCTGATCCGCTACACCGGGTATCGTGCCCAAGAAACTACAAACTATTCCACAGGTTTTGTTTCTTCACTTCTTCAGATCTGTTAGAACAAAATAAAATCTTCCAATACAGCCAGGCCTACTTGACCTTTGTCCAGAAACGACCTTAAGCACAGCTATGCAAGAAACTATAAATTAATAATAGTTACAGTTATTCAGAAAGAAACATTTTCTATGATACAGTTACCTTCATAAACATTATTTACCACTAAATCTTCCTTTTATAACACATATATATATATTATAAAACAAAAAAAATAAGTTTTATATATTTTCAAGGATCATTGTGTAGATAAATATTAAATAATCATTATATCAAGGTAAAATAAATAAGAACCAAGAAGCCGTATTTAGGGTTTGTTTTGCTGGTGTGTGTCTTTCGGTGTGCGTCTAGAGCCAAGAGGGTCAGTGAGAGAACGTTTTAGTCTGGAATTATTTACTGTTGTTATTTCAGGCTTCAGGTAGTTTTAATATTTGTTAGTGAATAGTGTAATAGCTAGTGAAGAAGTTTACAATTTAATACACTATGATAATACGTGGATGTTTAAGATTAAACTCGGTAAAAGTGAGATGGGTCATGTGTACATTCAAAACACTTAGATGTACACACCGCTAGTTGACCAGCAGGTGTGGATGAATATATGACCTCTAACACTTAAATTATGTTTCTGTTGCCGTGATAAACGTGGGTTATATGCCACAACATAGACATCACATACCAAGCTATTCATGGGGTGATGTTTTGTGGAACATTAGTGTACTTAAATGCCATGTATCTACTGTGGGAAGGAGACTATGTATTTATTACCCTTTATTTTGACTTGAAACTCTCCAGGATCCACAACTTCGGTAAACCTACAAAGAGGGGTACACCAAAACTCCTATTTTAACCATTGGAAATTATGGAAGTCCATTTTTGCCAGTGTGGAAAGTTATTGGCTGAAGATAGTTTGCTTCAGCCCCTGTGAACTCTCGCTCATACTCTGTACCAGCCACTGTGACTTCATTGCCTGACAACATGTAGGAGTGTTTAGATTAGGTTAGTTAATGTTAGTTTGTAGTATTGTAAAAAAAATGCACTTTTATTTTACTAAATGTTTCTCAACTCTGAAGTTGAAAAAATAGTATTTTAGCGTTTCCACAGAAAAGATTATATATCCATTGCATTACACATTGAATATTGATACCAAAATTGTCTGCCAAACTAGCAACAGTCAAGATCCAAATAATTGCCATTTTGACATCAAAAGTAGGTTGTAGATTTGTGTTCTGTCAAATGGGGGGAGGCTGAGAGTTTGCAAAAAGGGCACAATCCCCTGAGGATGGAGGCGAGCGAAGCGAGCCTTTGCATCTGGAGGGCCATTTTGAGGCCATATACAGTAGCTATAAATGTCCCTTGAATTTTGGTATATTTTATAATTTATTTATGAAAATGTACTTAATAAGCAATAAAAGGCCAAGTGTGAGAGGTGTGGGAGACCCATTAATCTGGCCTTTAGAGGTCAGCAGTGCAATAGTAGCAATTTAATTATGTATCGGGTTATTCTCTACAACGAAAAGTGGACATTTTGGAATTAAGGATATACTGTACTCCATGAAGCTACAAAGGGAAATGCTCCAATATTTATTTTGTGTGCAGGTGAGGATGTAGGAGTGAGTGTGGGAGAGCATGAGACAGAAGGTATATACAAGGGGAAGGGTTGGCCCTTGAATGCAATTCTGGTCACTGTATTACAGAATGGATATAGATTCCTTGGAAAGAATTCCGAGGAGAATGACAAGGCTAATCCCGGGCATCGGGAACCTTGAGTACAGAGACAGGTTAAAACTTCTTAATTTGCACTCCCTCGAGAGATGTAGAGTGAGGGGCGATATGATAGAGGTGTATAAATGGAAGTCAGGACTGAACAAAGGGAACATTACAAAGGTACTCAAACTATCCAACCAGGAGCAAACTCGTAACAATGGTTTTAAATTAGACAAATTTAGATTTAGGCGCGAAATAGGTAAACATTGGTTTGGAAATAGAGTAGTGGATGAGTGGAACAAGTTACCAAATATCATAATTAACTCGAATACGCTGGATAGCTTCAAACACAGGTTGGATGGATATATGAGCAATAGGGGTTGGGTGTAAATGGGACTGCCCAGTATGGGCCAATAGGCCCACTGCAGTTTCCTACTGGATGGAATAATGGGGTGGGGGAAGCCATAGAGGAGTTTGCCCAGGTTCCCCGTAGCTGGTTAATCCGGCCATGGCTACGTGATTTGGCTAATTAGCATTGACTAATTAGCTTAGAATACAATCTTACCTATACAAGATTACACAACTGGATAGAGCGAGTAACAGCTCCCGATGTTGGACGGTGACTGGGAGGGCCCCAGTCCTCCATGAATGGGACAGGGTTAGGAAGTAAACCGATCATGTCTCTACTAAAATCCAAGCTGTGCCACAAAAGCATGCCACATATAATATTATAGCAGTGTTTCTACATGGCTTTAGAATAATATGAGGATTTTTTCCTCACCAAGTTCTTTTAAGTTCTTTGTGTCCTAAATTGGCTGATCTGCCTCTCTTTTCGTGACAGTGGATAACATACCCTCTTGTTACTTATGATTAAAAAAAAACACCATCGAGGGGGGCAGGGGCTCAAGCCCATCTTGAGCCCTACTTGTGCATGTGCCTGATTTTGACATTTTCATGGGGTAAGAAAGCATTTATCTTCTAGGGTGGAATGTCCTAAAATTGGTACCGCAGACATAGTGTAACTTTGGACAGCTGTTAATTCAATGGTTGTACCTGTTAAAAGCTTGTCAGGACAGTTTGAGGGTAACTTTAGATGTCAATAAGTAACTTGGGAAAAGATTGGGCAAAAATCTGCAGCAACAAAATTTACATAAACAGTACAGTAAAAAAAAAAGTCGAGACCAGGGAAACTTTTCAAGAAAATTGTATTCCGTGAAAGTAACATGCTCTTTGGTTGTTAGGGGCTAATTTTTTTAAAATTATACAGTAGGAGAGTAAAACAAATTTAACGGGCACCAGTTCCCAGTACGCATGGTCTTCCATCACCCCAAGCTGTAGATTTGTTCTATCATTATTTTGTTTTCAGTACCATATGCAAACACTCCCCTGTTTACGGAAAGGTTCCGTTCCTTGACCCTGTCTGTAAGTCATATTTTCTGTAAACCGAAAATGACCCTTCCATAAGGTAAACATGTATGTACTACTTGTACCCTGTACAGAATCACAGATGGCATCTCACAAGGGGGTGGTGCGCACAGCTGCCTTACGCATAATCCTCTACAAATAGTGTTATGCCGTACTAGTTACCTTCCGTAATAGAAACTCCTGCACAACCCTAAAATTTTTAAATGGGACTTATGGGAGGCATACTGTATCCTCGAATTTCTGTAAACCGAGTGTTCTGTAACCCAGGGAGTGTCTGTTTAATGCCATAACTGTACAAGTTTTATATAATGCAATCTTAGAAATATGTGTGAATAATATTTGGATTGTCTCCCAAGTCATTTCACCAGGTTTTATTATTTTGGTTTCTCAGTGTAAGTCTCCATTTGAAAAAAACAATACAAAAAAACATAACATTGTTTTTGTTTTTCTCCTCCAGGTCCATCATGGCTCCGAAGAGAAATAATATTATCCCAAACAATCATTTCCACAAGGATTGGCAGCGCTATGTGCGCACGTGGTTCAACCAACCTGCCCGCAAACTAAGGCGCCGCAATAAGAGGCAGGCTAAGGCTCGGCAAATTGCTCCACGGCCCCTAGGAAGACTGAGGCCTGTGGTTCGTTGCCCAACCTTCAAGTAGGTTAAGTTTTTTTCTCGTTTCACAATTTTGTAGTAGAGGTGATATTTAAAGGCAGTATCCATATACTATACATGGAAAATTGGTCTTTTATTTGAATGGTTATTTTGAAATTGAACTGCTTGTGTGATTAGAACATTAAAAACATAATAAATATCATGTTATGAATGTTTTTGCAAAAAGGAATTTGTGTCAGTTCCATATGTATTGTTCATTGCTGAAACTTATCATATTGGCCTGAATTGTGGTGTTGAGTGACTGAACAAGAATGGTACTTTACAGGTTACTGTATTTTTTTGTTAAATCGTCTTGTCCTGTAAAAAAAATAAAATATAAAAATATATTTTAAAGTACTGTATAAGAGATAATTTCAGTACAGTATGAGTATCACTTCGTTTCAATAAAGATTCATTCAGATTAATGCTGGTGATGAAATCAGATTTTTTTATTTAATATTTAGTTTTTGGATCCATCATGTGCTTGGAATTGTTACCAGTTAGCGTAATCATCAGTAAAATTTCAAAATACCTTGCTTGTACCCGGTATAATTTTACAACATTTTTCTTTTGGGCAATTCCATGATATGATAGACCCTGAAAATTAAAGAATTTGTGTCTGCACAATTTAGGTCAAAATTAGTTAATGTATTTATGATAATGAAGTACAAAGATAAATATTCACGTTAACATAATTGCAACTGTTATAGGTAATTACAGTCCTGAAAAATTGTCTAGTTTCTGAATTAAGGTTTGCAATTAATGCATGTACAGTATTGTTTTATATTGCACTATAGACTTGTGTATGTACTGAATAGTTTTGAGGAGACATTGAGAAGATTAATGTATGTGAAAGTTTCATCATGCCATTTTGTTTAATATCAGTCACAGTAGATAATTGGCATTCTTGTCTAGGTAGTGGGAAACATCAAGCTAAGGGTAAAGTATCTTCATTGTCACGGGTTATATGATCTGAATGTCACCTGTGAAAGATGAATACAACTCTTGGAACTTATTAACATTTTAGGGTCAAATGTTTATGAAAATTTGTTTTCAGTGATGAATTGCTTTTTTTTTTTTGTCTTAATATATAATTTACTTCATTTCAGGTACAACACAAAGCAGCGACTGGGCAAGGGCTTCACTTTGGAGGAGCTGAAGGTATATTTGGTGTATCTGATGTATGTGTAGATTAGAGCTGAAGATCTGATATTTAATAGCTAAAAAGTACATCTTGGGCATATGCAAAATACAGAATAACAAAGGATTGGAACCTATTTCTATTCAAATCTAACTGACAATGAAGTTTCCGAGGACTAAGTGGAGTTTATGAATATTATGCTGTATATCCACTTCATTGCTAAATGTATAAATGTTTGAATTAGTGGAATCCTCCCTCTTACGGAATTGGTTTGCTCGCTTTATTCCATGATATGGAATGATTACTGCACTCTAACTCTCATGAATACTCTTGATTGAAGGATACCATGCTACAAGGAGAACTGTACTTGTTAGATTAAATCTTTAAGTTGCTTACAGGACAATATACTGTATTTACTTAGAATTTGTAAAAGTAGAAATTACTGCTCTTGACCTTCAATAATTTCATATTAATGTTGACTGTTCAGTTACCCCAATTGCCCAAAGAGGTGACTGTGATCTCATCTCTGTTTGTACTGGGCATCTTTTTGACTGGCAGATTTTTTCAGGCTGCAGGACTTTACAAGAAGTATGCTCAGACCATTGGCATCTCTGTAGACTACCGCCGCACTAACAAGTCCATGGAGTCCTTACAGAAGAATGTTCAGCGCCTTAAAGAATACAAGAGCAAGCTCATCGTCTTCCCTCTGAAGGCCAGCAAGCCAAAGAAGACAGACTCCTCTGTAAGTTGTGGATATTAGATTTTAACCATATGAACTCGTGGGTCAGAAAGGTAGTGGTAGGTTTACAGTAACAAGGACTTCGTCAATAAATTTATAAATTTAAATTTTGGGCAGGATAGGAGATACAGGTTTATCACAATATACATAGCCAGGAGTCATGGGTTCAGTAGGTAACTGCTCAGATAGACCCCAGCCTAACCTAACCATTATGATCCACTCCGATGGTTAGTTTGAGACTCATTTGATTTGCAACCTGTTTTGTATCATGGTGAAAAAAAGGGGGAATATCTGGTGTAGGTACCAGTATTTTTCTCAAGTGTATTGAAATAGCTTAGGGGAGCAGGATATTAATTTGTGATCATTAAGATTAACTGCTATTTTGTATATAATCTGGATTTAGAAATCGGCAGTTTAGTTTTGTCTTGATATTGTAATTCTATGGATTTCACAGTTGCTTATGTTTCGCTTTTAGCTGTGTCCTAATATTTAAATAGTTAGCTCCGATTGAGTAGAATTAAACTTTTGAGGTTCTTTGGTTGGTTGAATTTTTAGCATAAACAATATCTCATATTTGTTTGTTGTTTCAGCCTCAAGAGTTGGCATTGGCACAACAGCTGGTGGGTGACATAATGCCCCTTGTTAAGAAAGGAAAGAAGGAGAAGGCTAGGGTCATCACCAGGAGGGATAGAAACTACAGCTGCTTTAACGCTCTCCGAACGGTAAGATTTATTCTTTTGCGTAAGTGTTGTATGTAGCGAAAGACCAGTAATGTTAGAGTAGAGGGGATGCAATTCACCTCATCCTTTTGGTGGATTAATGTACAGTAGTATTTCAGTAACCTCAGATATCGTGGACTGTTGGGGTTAAGAGCCTTACATATTTGGAAAATATATACAGTGTATATACAGTGACCCCTCGGTTAACGAACTCAATCCGTTCCAGAAGGTCGTTCGTTAACCGAAACCATTGTTTCAATGGGTTTTTGGGTAATTGGTTCCAGCTCACCGAAAATTTCCTAAATTCAACAAAAATGGTAGAAAAGTTCACTTACTTTTAGGTGTGTATGTAGAAGGCTCCTGGATGATGATGATGATGGGATTTAGAATGGGGGTGGAGGAGAAGGAAGAAGAGAAGGCATTGGGGTGGAAGAGAAGTCACCCCATGGCGCCATTTCATCCATAAAATTTTAGCTCTCGGTGTAATTCAAGATTATTTTCTTTAAATCAACACTGCACTGCATTATATATTGTCAATATATAAAATATATTTCAAAATGACCAATAATTTGCTTGGAAACACAGATAAAAAGCATTTAGTTGAAGAGAGACTCAAGTAAGATGTTACCTCCAGTGAAAACAGAGAGAGACTAATACCTGTTTGCTGTGTTAAGAGGCTGGATGCCGCGCATTAAACTAGTCACTTTACCTTCAATTATGTTCAATAATTGTTAAAATGATTAAAAAATTGAATATTAAACTTTTAAAATTATTGAATAGTATAAACTTCTTGATATTTACTAAAATAGTAAGGAATTTAAGCCCTAGAACCGATTAATGTATTGGTGGACTGATACTAAAGTTGGTTGCCCGGTCAGTGCAAGTGAAAACATGTTGAGGTCGGTTCGTAAGAAATTCGTTAACCGAATTTTTGTTCGTTAACCGAATTGAAGATCCTTATGGAAGGCAGTTCGTTAACCGAAATTTACGTTAACGGTAGTTAGATTAACGAGGGTCATATATATATATATATATATATATATATATATATATATATATATATATATATATATATATATATATATATATATATATATATATATATATATATATATATATATATATATATATATATATATATATATATATATATATATATATATATATATATATATATATATATATATATATACACGCACGCACACACACACGGTAAGTCCTTGCTTAATGTCGTGGTTACGTTGTTGAAAAAAACAACATTAACAGAATCAGTTTTCCCCATAAGAAATATATAAATACGCTTGTTACGTTCCCCAGCCTCCCTTAGCCCCCCCATAAAATACATTACATATACTGTACATAAACTCGATGGAATTTTTTTAGAAAATATATATAAATCATTTTGTATTATACAGTACTCACTGGTGGGCAGAGGTGGAGCGCGTGTGTGGTGGGTTTAAAACCTCCATTTTCATTGCTTCTTCACAACACTAGTGTCACTAACACTTGTTGGGTGCTTGGAAACTGTTACGAATGGTTACAGTACAGTATTTATAGCAAAAACACTTAAGCACGCAGGTATGCTGTGGAAGCCTAACAAAGACTGGGGATGCTCCGCGAGAGAGCGTAGTGCGCCATGCAAAGTAATCTGTGACGACGTTATAACAAACCAGTTAAGACGTTGTCGGAATCATGGGTGTCTAAAGAGTAGCGATGTTATAACAAAACAACGTTGTCGGGGGCAACGTTAAGCAAGCACTTACTGTATCTATATATATATATATATATATATATATATATATATATATATATATATATATATATATATATATATATATATATATATATATATATATATATATATATATATATATATATATATATACACAGTATAGGAATATTAGAATGTGAAGATTAATTGGGGTCAATCTCAGGCTAAAAACGCTACTAAACAAGAATATTGAAGCAGTTGTAAAGTTGCAGTGAGCAAAATATCACCATGGAGTGTTCGTTGATATTGATATCAAAGTGATGGGACATTAATATCTAGCATAGTTGTATTATTTGTAGAATTTATTATGTGAAAGGTTTATGGTCTTTTAAAATCAATAAAGATGAGAATTGGTTAATTGCAAATTTTAAAATTATAAGTGAAATTGAAAATTTTCCAAAACTAGTACAGTACAAATGACTAGGATAAAATTTTCATGAGGTTTCATCAAGATTGGTATTGCAGGTATTTGATAAAAAGGTTTAATGATCTAATGCTGTATGTTTAATCAAGGTTTAAGGCACATTGACATTCCTTGCCAGGCTTTAAGCATGGAAAAATGCCTGTCTTTGTCACCAACTTTGGGAAAGTCTTTATTCAGAATAGTATAGAACAATCAGAAAAATTTCTTGTGTATAATTTCTTATAATTAAGAGCAGTGCCTCTGCTCTCTTAAGTTTTCCACTGAGCTTTGAAGTGATGCACTGCAGAAGTTAGTTATTCAGGAAGATGTAGTTAAAGATGATTTAAGAAAACTTCAATAGGAGTATATTGTACTTGTTTAATTTTAGTTTAATTTTATTATGTATTACAGTGGTCCCTCGGTTAACGAGCACAATCCGTTCCAGCAGGTTGCTCGTTAACCGAAACCATTGTTTCAATGGGTTTTTGGGTAATTGGTTCCAGCTCGCCGAAAATTGCCTAAATTCAACAAAAAAGGTAGAAAAGTACACTTACTTTGAGGTGTGTATGTAGAAGGCTCCTGGATGATGATGATGATGATGATGATGATGGTGGTGGTGGTGGGAATTAGAATTGGGGTGGAGGAGAAGGAAGAAGAGAAGGCATTGGGGTGGAAGAGAAGTCACCCCATGGCACCATTTCACCCTTAAAATATTAGTTCTCTTGGTGTATTTCAAGATTATTTTCTTTAAATCAACACTGCACTGCATTATATATTGTCAATATGTAAAATATATTTCAAAATGACCAATGATTTGCTTGGAAACACAGAAAAAAAGCATTTAGTTGAAGAGAGTCTCAAGCAAGATGTTACCTCCAGTGAAAACAGAGAGAGACTAACGCCTGTCTGGTGTGTTAACAGGCTGGATGGCACGCCAGAAACTAGTTTCTTTACCTTCAATTATGTTCAATAATTGTTAAAATGACTAAAAAAGTTAATATTAAACTTTTAAAATTATTGAATAGTATAAACTTCTTGATATTTACTAAAATAGTAAGGAATTTAAGCCCTAAAACCGATTATTGTATTGGCGGACTAATACTACAGCTGGTGGACCGCCAAATGCAAGCGAAAACATGTTGAAGTCGGCTCGTAAAAAACTCGTTAATCGAGGGATTGCTCGTTAACCGAAGTTAAGAATCTTATGGAAGGTAAATCGTTAACCGAAATCTCATTGACCGAGGCGCTCGTTAACCGAGGGACCACTGTATTCCTTAAATTTGCTGTTCATCTATACAGTTAGAGAAAGGTGCATAAAATTTTGTTCTTTTCAGGAACGTTCTATTGCTCGTAATTGGGGTCTGCGTGCCAAGAAGGCTAAGGAGGCAGCAGAAGATGCTGCTGTTACTGGCAAGAAGTAAATTGTACACTAAGAGTAAACAAGTGAAAGAAATTAATGTTTTACTCTCCTTTGACTTTTTTTTTTTTTTTGGTTTATTGAAATACTTCGATTTTTTTATAATTCTAGAAAATTCACCAGCAATGTGATGTGAAGTTAGCAAACAAAACTGCATAAGCTAGATTGTAATGTAGGAATTTTCATCTATTTTAGTTGTATTATTTATTGTTTCAAAATATGAGTTGATAAAAAAGATCCAAAAATTAAGAGGTATTTTTAGAAGCCTCTAACTGCTGTGGTGCACGGTGATTGGTAGGTACTGGTCTCTTGTTTCTTGTCTTCTTGGCACTCAGCAGCTGGTGGCCTACTCCCATCCCCTTAGCAGGATGCCATTCCACATATTTGGTAAGTAAAATATAAAGAGGTCTGTCCTGGTTCTGGCCACCTTCTAGCAGGATAGGAGTGCCTGAGAGAGAGAGAGAAGATAAATGTAAAGATGATTGAATCCATAAGTTCAAATTTTGATTTCATACGTTAGAAATTTGTGTGATATCAAAATACTTAAAAGATGTTAAGTTGCAGTATTAATGAAGAAGGTTTTACATAATATGATATTGCAAGTACTGCACTGTATTTCTTACTAGGTGTGCTTATGACAACTGTCGAGTAAATATGAAATGCAAAACCTTTTATCTACAAACTTTGAAATTGGTATACAGGTATATCCAGTCTGATTGTTATGGATAACTAAGGTCCATAATAAATTTATATTATTCTTACAGCTGCTGGAGGTTGTGTGGTGAGATGCAGACTTTTCAAAAATAAAAAATTCACATACCCTTACACTGGAATTGATAAGGGTAAGTCAGTCATTAAAACTTGTGCTTCTGTTAACATGTACAGTAATGCTATTGTCCTGTTGATCCATCACGAAGTGGATAATACTGAAACATATAATGATGATATTTTACCGTCCCAGTCTGAAAGTGGTGACTGATAGGTTTTTCTGAAAAAGCAAAATAAAGAATTTTGAAAATTAATTAGGTACGTCACTTAATTACATGATTCTTTTTATTGCAGCTTTGAGAAACTGATGGTTGCAGTAGAAAGCTTTGCCGCTGATGGTTCATTTAAATATTGCCAATTTACTTTTATTATGGTAAGTTGCAATTAGTAATAGTACTTAAACATTTCTTTACATAATATTAGGTCTCTTGTTTCTCTCACCACTCTGCCACCAACAGGATTGGGCTCTACCGTGTGTTAGTCATTTATTCTTGATACTTCCTTGTGTGTGAAGTAAATTCACCAAATGTGAAGATTTAAAATTCCAATCAGATTTGATAATTACATCCCTTTGAACTTTACTGTGCGGTATTGTGGTTAATGAGAGGTGCAACACCCCTCCCCTCTGTAGTAAATACAGTTGTTAATTAATGTTGATATGTGGACATGATGATGGTTGATAGGTTGTGCTGATATATGCAATTCTTTAAAACAAATAAGGTCCAGCTCTTGATAATTGTGCATGGATATTTCTTACAGCTGCTGGAAGTTTTGTGAAGGGGTGCAGACATCCCACAACTAAAATATTCAACATACAGTATACTGTACTATACCCCTCTCTTCAGGTAAGTTATAATCATTGACACTTTTGCACCTAACTTGTAATGTCACCATCCACATAATGAAAGTACACTGATGGATAGTTTTAGATATAAAATGATGATATTTTACCGCCCCAGTCTGATTTTGGTGACTGATTGGATAATCTGAATTGTTTATACAGTACATATAATGGTATATTTATTATATTTATTGTTAGGAAGTCCATTATTTACTATTTTATTTTTCACATCTGCAGGGGGTAACTAATGAAGAGCAAACTTTTCATCTCCAAAATATTCCACTGTCTTTGGTTGGAACTCATAATGGTAAGCAAGCCCTATTCCAAGCTTTTACTAATGTATGTCACTATTTATAAAGTTATGTCCATTTTGTAGATAGGTCATCTATATATTTCTTTTTCTTGTTTATGTACTAGTGAACGTTTCTGGTAATTTGATCCGTCTTGATCCCAGTATTTAAAGAGCAATTAAATTCACTAAAATAATCTTTAAGAATGAATAGAAATACATCTTCAATGGATAATATTTAAGTTTATCATGATGATATTTTACCGCCCCAGGCTGATGGTGTTGATGGATTGGTTATACTGACTTGCTGATACTATGTGACTAGTGAGCAAATGAGGTCCACCACATTTTTAGCATTATTATTATTTCTTGCAGTTGTTGGAGGAAATTTGTGACGAGGTGCAGACTCCATCCTCTTCAGATATTCAATATTCTCTTTCTTTGGAATAGTGGTGAGTTAATCATTCAAACTTATGCTTCTATTAATAAGTACTGTCACTATCCATTGAATTTTTCTCATAATGTAGCTGGGAGATCTGTTGAGAAAATGTTATTCTGTCACTCCATCAGAATGAAAATGTAGTTAGATTTAGTCGATATTAATCTATAAGGATGGAATGATGATATATTACCGCCCCAGTCTGATTGTTATGACTGACTGGTTTTTCTGAAAGTTTATATACTGTATATAATAATGATGAATGAATTGTCCAATACGGTACTTAACATGGCTTCTTTTTCATAACTGCAGGAGTTAGTAGATGAAGAGTGGGTAGACTTTCCTTCCCTGAAATATTCAAACTATATCAAAAAGTGCAATTCATATTGGTAAGTACACATTCCTTAATCTTAGCTTGTACTGATGTGCATGTTGTTATCCACTAAGTTGCCTTCATTCACTCACTTGAACACTCGTGAAAATCTGTCACTTTTCAATCCATCTTAATTAGATGTAGTACGGTATACAAATTTATATTAATGAATGATCAATAAAATGTAAATGATGATATTTTACCGCCCCAGTCTGAAATTAGTGATTGATGGGTTATTCTGAATTCCTAAAATAAAAAAAAATTTGTAAGTTAATAAGGTTCATCACTTGATATTATTTTCTATGTTGCAGCATCAAGAGATTGTCTATTGCAGTACAGTATAGACCTTTGGCTCGGGAGTGTTCCTATTAATGCTTCTAGTTCACTTCCATAAATGTAAGTTACAGATTAATTTACTTTTAGGCATTTATTAACATACTGAGAGCTTTTGAAATATAGTGATGATATTTTACCGCCCCAGGCTTATGGTTGTGATTGATTGGTTTTACTGACACTTTGTTATACGTACTTTATTATGATGAACAAATAAGGCCCACCACTTAATGATAACATTGTTTCTCACAGGTACTGGAGGTTCTACAGTACAGTATATATGGGATGAAGTACAGAGGTCCCATCTTTGGATTACATAGTGGTAAGTTATATTCACCGAGACTTAAACTACTGTCCTGTAATAGCACAATCTATTAAGTAGTTCTCATTGTGCAGCTGGGAAATCCACTAAAAACTATTCCTAGTTCTCTTGGGGATGAAACTCTTAGAAAAATTTCAGGAATCAACTCTTAGCTCTCTTTACTTTCCCTCATTCCTACATTAGAACATTTGCTTTTCACTTAGAAATTTCGTACTATTTTCTTTGCCCATGTCACACTGAAAATGTTAGTAAATACTTTAAAAAGGTATATAAAAAGCATTGATTTTTTAATGTTCTTGTTGATGGGTAATTTTACAATTTGATAATGATGATTTTCACCGCCCCAGTCTGACTGTTATGACTGACTGGTTAATCTGAATTGTTTGTATATAACTGTTATGAATGTATCAAGTCCACTATTTAATATTAATTTGTATTCCACATCTGCAGGTAATAAATGACGAGGAGTGGACTTGCCTTTTCTAAAACGTTTACCTGTATCTTCAGTTGAAACTCATAATGGTAAGTAAACACTTCTTTTAACCAATTTTTTATACCGTTCTGTACTTAGATATATTTAGTGTCACACTACATTAGGTTACCTCCATTAGCTCTATAGTAAGGTTTTTTTTTTAATTGGTCAAAGTCTTTATCAGACAATTTTCCTCACTCATGAGAATGTACCTGAAAAAATGTCATCAATCCTTCTAGTTGTTTAATGTATAAAACACTGCTAAATGTAACAGATTAAGCTTAAGAATGGATGTTCAGTAGCAACAGTATTTTAGATAATGACATTTTAAATGTATCTTGATTTTTTTTACCACCCGAGGCCAATACTAGTGATGATTAATTGGTTACTCTTAATTCCAAAAATATAGTTATATCATTTTGTAAGTTATCACACCCCTTCTCAATTTAAGGGCATCTTCTAACTATTGTCTACCACTACTGGAAAAGGAGATTCTTAGTAGATCATCCATCCATCTTTGATATTACTTTGTTTATGCTGTCACTACCAAAGGTGATATAGTTATATCAAATTTGTTACAAACACTCTATACACAAGTCTTTAATGTGCTTGTGTTTTGGAAAATTCAATGGAATCTTCCACTAAGTTACCTTCATATTTGTTAACCTCAAATGAACACACATGAAAATCTTTGTCACTCTTCAATCCATCTTAATTTGATATAGTTCGGTACACAAATTTATCTTAGTGAATGACACTGAAATGTAAATGATGATATTTTACCGCCCCAGTCTGAAATTAGTGATTGATGGGTTATTCTGAATTCTTAAAATAAAAGAATTTATAAGTTAATAAGGTTCATCACTTGATATTATTTTCTATGTTGCAGCATCAAGAGATTGTCTATTGCAGTACAGTATAGACCTTTGGCTCGGGAGTGTTCCTATTAATGCTTCTAGTTCACTTCCATAAATGTAAGTTACAGATTAATTTACTTTTAGGCATTTATTCACGTACTGAGAGCTTTTGAAATATAGTGATGATATTTTACCGCCCCAGGCTTATAGTTGTGATTGATTGGTTTTACTGACACTTTGTTATACGTACTTTATTATGATGAACAAATAAGTCCCACCACTTAATGTTAACATTGTTTCTCACAGGTGCTGGAGGTTCTACAGTACACTATATATGGGATGAAGTACAGAGGTCCCACCTTTGGATTACATAGTGGTAAGTTATATTCACCGAGACTTAAACTACTGTCCTGTAATAGTACAATCTATTAAGTATTTCTCATTGTGCAGCTGGGAAATCCACTAAAAACTATTCCTAGTTTTCTTGGGGATGAAACCTCTTAGAAAAATTTCAGGAATCAACTCTTAGCTCTTTTTACTTTCCCTCCTTCCTACATTAGAACATTTGCTTTTCACTTAGAAATTTTGTACTATTTTCTTTGCCCATGTCACACTGAAAATGTTAGTAAATACTTTAAAACGGTGTATAAAAAGCATGGATTTTTTAATGTTCTTGTTGATGGATAATTTTACAATTTGATAATGATGATTTTCACCGCCCCAGTCTGACTGTTATGACTGACTGGTTCATCTGAATCGTTTGTATATAATTGTTATGAATGTATCAAATCCACTGTTTAATATTAATTTGTTTTCCACATCTGCAGGTAATAAATGACGAGGAGTGGACTTGCCTTTTCTAAAACGTTTACCTGTATCTTCAGTTGAAACTCATAATGGTAAGTAAACACTTGTTTTAACCAATTTTTTATACCGTTCTGTACTTAGATATATTTAGTGTCACACTTGATTAGGTTACCTCCATTAGCTCTATAGTAAGGTTTTTTTTTTTTTAATTGGTCAAAGTCTTTATCAGACAATTTTCCTCACTCATGAGAATGTACCTGAAAAAATGTCATCAATCTTTCTAGTTGTTTAATGTATAAAACACTGCTAAATGTAACAGATTAAGCTTAAGAATGGATGTACAGTAGCAACAGTATTTTAGAGAATGACATTTTAAATGTATCTTGATTTTTTTTACCACCCGAGGCCAATACTAGTGATGATTAATTGGTTACCCTTAATTCGAAAAATATAGTTATATCATTTTGTAAGTTATCACACCCCTTCTCAATTTAAGGGCATCTTCTAACTAATGTCTACCACTACTGGAACAGGAGATTCTCAGTAGATCATCCATCCATCTTTGATATTACTTTGTTTATGCTGTCACTACCAAAGGTGATATAGTTAAAGCAAATTTGTTACAAACACTCTGTACACAAGTCTTTAATGTGCTTGTGTTTTGGAAAATTCAATGGAATCATCCACTAAGTTACCTTAAATGAACACACATGAAAATCTTTGTCACTCTTCAATCCATCTTAATTTTGTATAGTTCGGTACACAAATTTATCTTAATGAATGACACTTAAATGTAAATGATGATATTTTACCGCCCCAGTCTGAAATTAGTGATTGATCGGTTATTCTGAATTCCTAAAATAAAAGAATTTGTAAGTTAATAAGGTTCATCACTTGATATTATTTTCTATGTTGCAGCATCAAGAGATTGTCTATTGCAGTACAGTATAGACCTTTGGCTCGGGAGTGTTCCTATTAATGCTTCTAGTTCACTTCCATAAATGTAAGTTACAGATTAATTTACTTTTAGGCATTTATTAACGTACTGAGAGCTTTTGAAATATAGTGATGATATTTTACCGCCCCAGGCTTATAGTTGTGATTGATTGGTTTTACTGACAGTTTGTTATACGTACTTTATTATGATGAACAAATAAGGCCCACCACTTAATGTTAACATTGTTTCTCACAGGTACTGGAGGTTCTACAGTACACTATATATGGGATGAAGTACAGAGGTCCCACCTTTGGATTACATAGTGGTAAGTTATATTCACAGACTTAAACTACTGTCCTGTAATAGCACAATCTATTAAGTAGTTCTCATTGTGCAGCTGGGAAATCCACTAAAAACTATTCCTAGTTCTCTTGGGGATGAAACCTCTTAGAAAAATTTCAGGAATCAACTCTTAGCTCTTTTTACTTTCCCTCCTTCCTACATTAGAACATTTGCTTTTCACTTAGAAATTTTGTACTATTTTCTTTGCCCATGTCACACTGAAAATGTTAGTAAATACTTTAAAACGGTATATAAAAAGCATGGATTTTTTAATGTTCTTGTTGATGGATAATTTTACAATTTGATAATGATGATTTTCACCGCCCCAGTCTGACTGTTATGACTGACTGGTTCATCTGAATCGTTTGTATATAATTGTTATGAATGTATCAAATCCACTGTTTAATATTAATTTGTTTTCCACATCTGCAGGTAATAAATGACGAGGAGTGGACTTGCCTTTTCTAAAACGTTTACCTGTATCTTCAGTTGAAACTCATAATGGTAAGTAAACACTTGTTTTAACCAATTTTTTATACCGTTCTGTACTTAGATATATTTAGTGTCACACTTGATTAGGTTACCTCCATTAGCTCTATAGTAAGGTTTTTTTTTTTATTGGTCAAAGTCTTTATCAGACAATTTTCCTCACTCATGAGAATGTACCTGAAAAAATGTCATCAATCTTTCTAGTTGTTTAATGTATAAAACACTGCTAAATGTAACAGATTAAGCTTAAGAATGGATGTACAGTAGCAACAGTATTTTAGAGAATGACATTTTAAATGTATCTTGATTTTTTTTACCACCCGAGGCCAATACTAGTGATGATTAATTGGTTACCCTTAATTCGAAAAATATAGTTATATCATTTTGTAAGTTATCACACCCCTTCTCAATTTAAGGGCATCTTCTAACTAATGTCTACCACTACTGGAACAGGAGATTCTCAGTAGATCATCCATCCATCTTTGATATTACTTTGTTTATGCTGTCACTACCAAAGGTGATATAGTTAAAGCAAATTTGTTACAAACACTCTGTACACAAGTCTTTAATGTGCTTGTGTTTTGGAAAATTCAATGGAATCATCCACTAAGTTACCTTAAATGAACACACATGAAAATCTTTGTCACTCTTCAATCCATCTTAATTTTGTATAGTTCGATACACAAATTTATCTTAATGAATGACACTTAAATGTAAATGATGATATTTTACCGCCCCAGTCTGAAATTAGTGATTGATCGGTTATTCTGAATTCCTAAAATAAAAGAATTTGTAAGTTAATAAGGTTCATCACTTGATATTATTTTCTATGTTGCAGCATCAAGAGATTGTCTATTGCAGTACAGTATAGACCTTTGGCTCGGGAGTGTTCCTATGAATGCTTCTAGTTCACTTCCATAAATGTAAGTTACAGATTAATTTACTTTTAGGCATTTATTAACGTACTGAGAGCTTTTGAAATATAGTGATGATATTTTACCGCCCCAGGCTTATAGTTGTGATTGATTGGTTTTACTGACAGTTTGTTATACGTACTTTATTATGATGAACAAATAAGGCCCACCACTTAATGTTAACATTGTTTCTCACAGGTACTGGAGGTTCTACAGCAATTATATATGGGATGAAGTACAGAGGTCCCACCTTGGATTACATAGTGGTAAGTTATATCTACAGACTTAAATCATTGTCCTGTAATAGCACAATCTATTAAGTAGTTCTCATTGTGCATGGGAAACTTACTCAAAACTATTCTTGCTCCTCTTTGGGGATGAAACCCTTCTGAAAAATTTCAGGAATCAACTCTAGCTTCCTTTTACTCTTCCCTCCTTTCCTTACATTAGAACATTTGCTTTCACTTAGAAATTTTGTACTATTTCGGCCCATGTCACACTGAAAATGTTAGTAAATACTTTAAAATCTAAATATAAAAAGCATGGATTTTTTAATGTTCTTGTTGATGGATAATTTTACAATTTGATAATGATGATTTTCACCGCCCCAGTCTGACTGTTATGACTGACTGGTTCATCTGAATCGTTTGTATATAATTGTTATGAATGTATCAAATCCACTGTTTAATATTAATTTGTTTTCCACATCTGCAGGTAATAAATGACGAGGAGTGGACTTGCCTTTTCTAAAACGTTTACCTGTATCTTCAGTTGAAACTCATAATGGTAAGTAAACACTTGTTTTAACCAATTTTTTATACCGTTCTGTACTTAGATATATTTAGTGTCACACTTGATTAGGTTATCTCCATTAGCTCTATGGTAAGGTTTTTTTTTTATTGGTCAAAATCTTTATCAGACAATTTTTCTCACTCATGAGAATGTACCTGAAAAAATGTCATCAATCTTTCTAGTTGTTTAATGTATAAAACACTGCTAAATGTAACAGATTAAGCTTAAGAATGGATGTACAGTAGCAACAGTATTTTAGAGAATGACATTTTAAATGTATCTTGATTTTTTTTACCACCCGAGGCCAATACTAGTGATGATTAATTGGTTACCCTTAATTCGAAAAATATAGTTATATCATTTTGTAAGTTATCACACCCCTTCTCAATTTAAGGGCATCTTCTAACTAATGTCTACCACTACTGGAACAGGAGATTCTCAGTAGATCATCCATCCATCTTTGATATTACTTTGTTTATGCTGTCACTACCAAAGGTGATATAGTTAAAGCAAATTTGTTACAAACACTCTGTACACAAGTCTTTAATGTGCTTGTGTTTTGGAAAATTCAATGGAATCATCCACTAAGTTACCTTAAATGAACACACATGAAAATCTTTGTCACTCTTCAATCCATCTTAATTTTGTATAGTTCGGTACACAAATTTATCTTAATGAATGACACTTAAATGTAAATGATGATATTTTACCGCCCCAGTCTGAAATTAGTGATTGATCGTTATTCTGGAATTCTAAAATAAAAGAATTTGTGTTAATAAGGTTCTACTACTTGATATTATTTTCTATGTTGCAGCATCAAGAGATTGTCTATTGCAGTACAGTAAGGAATCTTTGGCTCGAGAAACCTGGTGAATGTTTAGTTCACTTCCATAAATGTAAGTTACAGATTAATTTACTTTTAGGCATTTATTAACGTACTGAGAGCTTTTGAAATATAGTGATGATATTTTACCGCCCCAGGCTTATAGTTGTGATTGATTGGTTTTACTGACAGTTTGTTATACGTACTTTATTATGATGAACAAATAAGGCCCACCACTTAATGTTAACATTGTTTCTCACAGGTACTGGAGGTTCTACAGTACACTATATATGGGATGAAGTACAGAGGTCCCACCTTTGGATTACATAGTGGTAAGTTATATTCACAGACTTAAACTACTGTCCTGTAATAGCACAATCTATTAAGTAGTTCTCATTGTGCAGCTGGGAAATCCACTAAAAACTATTCCTAGTTCTCTTGGGGATGAAACCTCTTAGAAAAATTTCAGGAATCAACTCTTAGCTCTTTTTACTTTCCCTCCTTCCTACATTAGAACATTTGCTTTTCACTTAGAAATTTTGTACTATTTTCTTTGCCCATGTCACACTGAAAATGTTAGTAAATACTTTAAAACGGTATATAAAAAGCATGGATTTTTTAATGTTCTTGTTGATGGATAATTTTACAATTTGATAATGATGATTTTCACCGCCCCAGTCTGACTGTTATGACTGACTGGTTCATCTGAATCGTTTGTATATAATTGTTATGAATGTATCAAATCCACTGTTTAATATTAATTTGTTTTCCACATCTGCAGGTAATAAATGACGAGGAGTGGACTTGCCTTTTCTAAAACGTTTACCTGTATCTTCAGTTGAAACTCATAATGGTAAGTAAACACTTGTTTTAACCAATTTTTTATACCGTTCTGTACTTAGATATATTTAGTGTCACACTTGATTAGGTTACCTCCATTAGCTCTATAGTAAGGTTTTTTTTTTTATTGGTCAAAGTCTTTATCAGACAATTTTCCTCACTCATGAGAATGTACCTGAAAAAATGTCATCAATCTTTCTAGTTGTTTAATGTATAAAACACTGCTAAATGTAACAGATTAAGCTTAAGAATGGATGTGTACAGTAGCAACAGTATTTTAGAGAATGACATTTTAAATGTATCTTGATTTTTTTTACCACCCGAGGCCAATACTAGTGATGATTAATTGGTTACCCTTAATTCGAAAAATATAGTTATATCATTTTGTAAGTTATCACACCCCTTCTCAATTTAAGGGCATCTTCTAACTAATGTCTACCACTACTGGAACAGGAGATTCTCAGTAGATCATCCATCCATCTTTGATATTACTTTGTTTATGCTGTCACTACCAAAGGTGATATAGTTAAAGCAAATTTGTTACAAACACTCTGTACACAAGTCTTTAATGTGCTTGTGTTTTGGAAAATTCAATGGAATCATCCACTAAGTTACCTTAAATGAACACACATGAAAATCTTTGTCACTCTTCAATCCATCTTAATTTTGTATAGTTCGATACACAAATTTATCTTAATGAATGACACTTAAATGTAAATGATGATATTTTACCGCCCCAGTCTGAAATTAGTGATTGATCGGTTATTCTGAATTCCTAAAATAAAAGAATTTGTAAGTTAATAAGGTTCATCACTTGATATTATTTTCTATGTTGCAGCATCAAGAGATTGTCTATTGCAGTACAGTATAGACCTTTGGCTCGGGAGTGTTCCTATTAATGCTTCTAGTTCACTTCCATAAATGTAAGTTACAGATTAATTTACTTTTAGGCATTTATTAACGTACCGAGAGCTTTTGAAATATAGTGATGATATTTTACCGCCCCAGGCTTATAGTTGTGATTGATTGGTTTTACTGACACTTTGTTATACGTACTTTATTATGATGAACAAATAAGGCCCACCACTTAATGTTAACATTGTTTCTCACAGGTACTGGAGGTTCTACAGTACACTATATATGGGATGAAGTACAGGGGTCCCACCTTTGGATTACATAGTGGTAAGTTATATTCACCGAGACTTAAACCACTGTCCTGTAATAGCACAATCTATTAAGTAGTTCTCATTGTGCAGCTGGGAAATCCACTAAAAACTATTCCTAGTTCTCTTGGGGATGAAACTTCTTAGAAAAATTTAGGCAACTTTAACTCTTAGCTCTCTTTGCTTTCCCTCATTCCTTTATTAGAACATTGTGTCTTTCGCTTGAATCATATGTAAGAAATTTGGTACTATTTTCTTTGCCCATATCACACTGAAAGTGTTAGTAAATACATTAAAAAGGTATATAAAAAGTATTGAATTTTTTTATGTTCTTGTTTTTGATAATGATGATATTTCACCGCCCCAGTCTGACTGTTATGACTGACTGGTTAATCTGAATTGTTTGTATATAATTGTTATGAATGTATCAAGTCCACTATTTAATATTAATTTGTTTTCCACATCTGCAGGTAATAAATGACGAGGAGTAGACTTGTCTTTTCTTAAACGTTTACCTGTATCTTCAGTTGAAACTCATAATGGTAAGTAAACACTTGTTTTTACCAATTTTTTATATCGTTCTGTGCTTAGATATATTTAGTGTCACGCTCCATTAGGTTACCTCCATTAGCTCTATAGTAAGGTTTTTTGTATTGGTGAGTCTTTATCAGACAATTTTCCTCGCTCATGAGAATGTGCCTGAAAAAAAAGAAATCAATCCTTCCAGTGGTTTAATATATAAAACTGCTAAATGTAACAGATTAAGCTTAAGAATGGATGTACAGTAGCAACAGTATCTTAGATAATGACATTTTAAATGTATCCTGAAGATTTTTTTACCACCCCAGGCCAATACTAGTGATGATTAATTGGTTACTCTTAATTCCAAAAATATAGTTATATCATTTTGTAAGTTATCACACCCCTTCTCAATTTAAGGGCATCTTCTAACTATTGTCTACCACTACTGGAAAAGGAGATTCTTAGTAGATCATCCATCCATCTTTGATATTACTTTGTTTATGCTGTCACTACCAAAGGTGATATAGTTATATCAAATTTGTTACAAACACTCTATACACAAGTCTTTAATGTGCTTGTGTTTTGGAAAATTCAATGGAATCTTCCACTAAGTTACCTTCATATTTGTTAACCTCAAATGAACACACATGAAAATCTTTGTCACTCTTCAATCCATCTTAATTTGATATAGTTCGGTACACAAATTTATCTTAGTGAATGACACTGAAATGTAAATGATGATATTTTACCGCCCCAGTCTGAAATTAGTGATTGATGGGTTATTCTGAATTCTTAAAATAAAAGAATTTATAAGTTAATAAGGTTCATCACTTGATATTATTTTCTATGTTGCAGCATCAAGAGATTGTCTATTGCAGTACAGTATAGACCTTTGGCTCGGGAGTGTTCCTATTAATGCTTCTAGTTCACTTCCATAAATGTAAGTTACAGATTAATTTACTTTTAGGCATTTATTAACGTACTGAGAGCTTTTGAAATATAGTGATGATATTTTACCGCCCCAGGCTTATAGTTGTGATTGATTGGTTTTACTGACACTTTGTTATACGTACTTTATTATGATGAACAAATAAGGCCCACCACTTAATGTTAACATTGTTTCTCACAGGTACTGGAGGTTCTACAGTACACTATATATGGGATGAAGTACAGAGGTCCCACCTTTGGATTACATAGTGGTAAGTTATATTCACCGAGACTTAAACTACTGTCCTGTAATAGTACAATCTATTAAGTATTTCTCATTGTGCAGCTGGGAAATCCACTAAAAACTATTCCTAGTTTTCTTGGGGATGAAACCTCTTAGAAAAATTTCAGGAATCAACTCTTAGCTCTTTTTACTTTCCCTCCTTCCTACATTAGAACATTTGCTTTTCACTTAGAAATTTTGTACTATTTTCTTTGCCCATGTCACACTGAAAATGTTAGTAAATACTTTAAAACGGTGTATAAAAAGCATGGATTTTTTAATGTTCTTGTTGATGGATAATTTTACAATTTGATAATGATGATTTTCACCGCCCCAGTCTGACTGTTATGACTGACTGGTTCATCTGAATCGTTTGTATATAATTGTTATGAATGTATCAAATCCACTGTTTAATATTAATTTGTTTTCCACATCTGCAGGTAATAAATGACGAGGAGTGGACTTGCCTTTTCTAAAACGTTTACCTGTATCTTCAGTTGAAACTCATAATGGTAAGTAAACACTTGTTTTAACCAATTTTTTATACCGTTCTGTACTTAGATATATTTAGTGTCACACTTGATTAGGTTACCTCCATTAGCTCTATGGTAAGGTTTTTTTTTTATTGGTCAAAGTCTTTATCAGACAATTTTCCTCACTCATGAGAATGTACCTGAAAAAATGTCATCAATCTTTCTAGTTGTTTAATGTATAAAACACTGCTAAATGTAACAGATTAAGCTTAAGAATGGATGTACAGTAGCAACAGTATTTTAGAGAATGACATTTTAAATGTATCTTGATTTTTTTTACCACCCGAGGCCAATACTAGTGATGATTAATTGGTTACCCTTAATTCGAAAAATATAGTTATATCATTTTGTAAGTTATCACACCCCTTCTCAATTTAAGGGCATCTTCTAACTAATGTCTACCACTACTGGAACAGGAGATTCTCAGTAGATCATCCATCCATCTTTGATATTACTTTGTTTATGCTGTCACTACCAAAGGTGATATAGTTAAAGCAAATTTGTTACAAACACTCTGTACACAAGTCTTTAATGTGCTTGTGTTTTGGAAAATTCAATGGAATCATCCACTAAGTTACCTTCATATTTGTTAACAAATGAACACATGAAAATCTTTGTCACTCTTCAATCCATCTTAATTTTGTATAGTTCGGTACACAAATTTATCTTAATGAATGACACTTAAATGTAAATGATGATATTTTACCGCCCCAGTCTGAAATTAGTGATTGATCGGTTATTCTGAATTCCTAAAATAAAAGAATTTGTAAGTTAATAAGGTTCATCACTTGATATTATTTTCTATGTTGCAGCATCAAGAGATTGTCTATTGCAGTACAGTATAGACCTTTGGCTCGGGAGTGTTCCTATTAATGCTTCTAGTTCACTTCCATAAATGTAAGTTACAGATTAATTTACTTTTAGGCATTTATTAACGTACTGAGAGCTTTTGAAATATAGTGATGATATTTTACCGCCCCAGGCTTATAGTTGTGATTGATTGGTTTTACTGACAGTTTGTTATACGTACTTTATTATGATGAACAAATAAGGCCCACCACTTAATGTTAACATTGTTTCTCACAGGTACTGGAGGTTCTACAGTACACTATATATGGGATGAAGTACAGAGGTCCCACCTTTGGATTACATAGTGGTAAGTTATATTCACAGACTTAAACTACTGTCCTGTAATAGCACAATCTATTAAGTAGTTCTCATTGTGCAGCTGGGAAATCCACTAAAAACTATTCCTAGTTCTCTTGGGGATGAAACCTCTTAGAAAAATTTCAGGAATCAACTCTTAGCTCTTTTTACTTTCCCTCCTTCCTACATTAGAACATTTGCTTTTCACTTAGAAATTTTGTACTATTTTCTTTGCCCATGTCACACTGAAAATGTTAGTAAATACTTTAAAACGGTATATAAAAAGCATGGATTTTTTAATGTTCTTGTTGATGGATAATTTTACAATTTGATAATGATGATTTTCACCGCCCCAGTCTGACTGTTATGACTGACTGGTTCATCTGAATCGTTTGTATATAATTGTTATGAATGTATCAAATCCACTGTTTAATATTAATTTGTTTTCCACATCTGCAGGTAATAAATGACGAGGAGTGGACTTGCCTTTTCTAAAACGTTTACCTGTATCTTCAGTTGAAACTCATAATGGTAAGTAAACACTTGTTTTAACCAATTTTTTATACCGTTCTGTACTTAGATATATTTAGTGTCACACTTGATTAGGTTACCTCCATTAGCTCTATAGTAAGGTTTTTTTTTTTTATTGGTCAAAGTCTTTATCAGACAATTTTCCTCACTCATGAGAATGTACCTGAAAAAATGTCATCAATCTTTCTAGTTGTTTAATGTATAAAACACTGCTAAATGTAACAGATTAAGCTTAAGAATGGATGTACAGTAGCAACAGTATTTTAGAGAATGACATTTTAAATGTATCTTGATTTTTTTTACCACCCGAGGCCAATACTAGTGATGATTAATTGGTTACCCTTAATTCGAAAAATATAGTTATATCATTTTGTAAGTTATCACACCCCTTCTCAATTTAAGGGCATCTTCTAACTAATGTCTACCACTACTGGAACAGGAGATTCTCAGTAGATCATCCATCCATCTTTGATATTACTTTGTTTATGCTGTCACTACCAAAGGTGATATAGTTAAAGCAAATTTGTTACAAACACTCTGTACACAAGTCTTTAATGTGCTTGTGTTTTGGAAAATTCAATGGAATCATCCACTAAGTTACCTTAAATGAACACACATGAAAATCTTTGTCACTCTTCAATCCATCTTAATTTTGTATAGTTCGATACACAAATTTATCTTAATGAATGACACTTAAATGTAAATGATGATATTTTACCGCCCCAGTCTGAAATTAGTGATTGATCGGTTATTCTGAATTCCTAAAATAAAAGAATTTGTAAGTTAATAAGGTTCATCACTTGATATTATTTTCTATGTTGCAGCATCAAGAGATTGTCTATTGCAGTACAGTATAGACCTTTGGCTCGGGAGTGTTCCTATTAATGCTTCTAGTTCACTTCCATAAATGTAAGTTACAGATTAATTTACTTTTAGGCATTTATTAACGTACTGAGAGCTTTTGAAATATAGTGATGATATTTTACCGCCCCAGGCTTATAGTTGTGATTGATTGGTTTTACTGACAGTTTGTTATACGTACTTTATTATGATGAACAAATAAGGCCCACCACTTAATGTTAACATTGTTTCTCACAGGTACTGGAGGTTCTACAGTACACTATATATGGGATGAAGTACAGAGGTCCCACCTTTGGATTACATAGTGGTAAGTTATATTCACAGACTTAAACTACTGTCCTGTAATAGCACAATCTATTAAGTAGTTCTCATTGTGCAGCTGGGAAATCCACTAAAAACTATTCCTAGTTCTCTTGGGGATGAAACCTCTTAGAAAAATTTCAGGAATCAACTCTTAGCTCTTTTTACTTTCCCTCCTTCCTACATTAGAACATTTGCTTTTCACTTAGAAATTTTGTACTATTTTCTTTGCCCATGTCACACTGAAAATGTTAGTAAATACTTTAAAACGGTATATAAAAAGCATGGATTTTTTAATGTTCTTGTTGATGGATAATTTTACAATTTGATAATGATGATTTTCACCGCCCCAGTCTGACTGTTATGACTGACTGGTTCATCTGAATCGTTTGTATATAATTGTTATGAATGTATCAAATCCACTGTTTAATATTAATTTGTTTTCCACATCTGCAGGTAATAAATGACGAGGAGTGGACTTGCCTTTTCTAAAACGTTTACCTGTATCTTCAGTTGAAACTCATAATGGTAAGTAAACACTTGTTTTAACCAATTTTTTATACCGTTCTGTACTTAGATATATTTAGTGTCACACTTGATTAGGTTACCTCCATTAGCTCTATAGTAAGGTTTTTTTTTTTATTGGTCAAAGTCTTTATCAGACAATTTTCCTCACTCATGAGAATGTACCTGAAAAAATGTCATCAATCTTTCTAGTTGTTTAATGTATAAAACACTGCTAAATGTAACAGATTAAGCTTAAGAATGGATGTACAGTAGCAACAGTATTTTAGAGAATGACATTTTAAATGTATCTTGATTTTTTTTACCACCCGAGGCCAATACTAGTGATGATTAATTGGTTACCCTTAATTCGAAAAATATAGTTATATCATTTTGTAAGTTATCACACCCCTTCTCAATTTAAGGGCATCTTCTAACTAATGTCTACCACTACTGGAACAGGAGATTCTCAGTAGATCATCCATCCATCTTTGATATTACTTTGTTTATGCTGTCACTACCAAAGGTGATATAGTTAAAGCAAATTTGTTACAAACACTCTGTACACAAGTCTTTAATGTGCTTGTGTTTTGGAAAATTCAATGGAATCATCCACTAAGTTACCTTAAATGAACACACATGAAAATCTTTGTCACTCTTCAATCCATCTTAATTTTGTATAGTTCGGTACACAAATTTATCTTAATGAATGACACTTAAATGTAAATGATGATATTTTACCGCCCCAGTCTGAAATTAGTGATTGATCGGTTATTCTGAATTCCTAAAATAAAAGAATTTGTAAGTTAATAAGGTTCATCACTTGATATTATTTTCTATGTTGCAGCATCAAGAGATTGTCTATTGCAGTACAGTATAGACCTTTGGCTCGGGAGTGTTCCTATTAATGCTTCTAGTTCACTTCCATAAATGTAAGTTACAGATTAATTTACTTTTAGGCATTTATTAACGTACTGAGAGCTTTTGAAATATAGTGATGATATTTTACCGCCCCAGGCTTATAGTTGTGATTGATTGGTTTTACTGACAGTTTGTTATACGTACTTTATTATGATGAACAAATAAGGCCCACCACTTAATGTTAACATTGTTTCTCACAGGTACTGGAGGTTCTACAGTACACTATATATGGGATGAAGTACAGAGGTCCCACCTTTGGATTACATAGTGGTAAGTTATATTCACAGACTTAAACTACTGTCCTGTAATAGCACAATCTATTAAGTAGTTCTCATTGTGCAGCTGGGAAATCCACTAAAAACTATTCCTAGTTCTCTTGGGGATGAAACCTCTTAGAAAAATTTCAGGAATCAACTCTTAGCTCTTTTTACTTTCCCTCCTTCCTACATTAGAACATTTGCTTTTCACTTAGAAATTTTGTACTATTTTCTTTGCCCATGTCACACTGAAAATGTTAGTAAATACTTTAAAACGGTATATAAAAAGCATGGATTTTTTAATGTTCTTGTTGATGGATAATTTTACAATTTGATAATGATGATTTTCACCGCCCCAGTCTGACTGTTATGACTGACTGGTTCATCTGAATCGTTTGTATATAATTGTTATGAATGTATCAAATCCACTGTTTAATATTAATTTGTTTTCCACATCTGCAGGTAATAAATGACGAGGAGTGGACTTGCCTTTTCTAAAACGTTTACCTGTATCTTCAGTTGAAACTCATAATGGTAAGTAAACACTTGTTTTAACCAATTTTTTATACCGTTCTGTACTTAGATATATTTAGTGTCACACTTGATTAGGTTACCTCCATTAGCTCTATAGTAAGGTTTTTTTTTTTATTGGTCAAAGTCTTTATCAGACAATTTTCCTCACTCATGAGAATGTACCTGAAAAAATGTCATCAATCTTTCTAGTTGTTTAATGTATAAAACACTGCTAAATGTAACAGATTAAGCTTAAGAATGGATGTACAGTAGCAACAGTATTTTAGAGAATGACATTTTAAATGTATCTTGATTTTTTTACCACCCGAGGCCAATACTAGTGATGATTAATTGGTTACCCTTAATTCGAAAAATATAGTTATATCATTTTGTAAGTTATCACACCCCTTCTCAATTTAAGGGCATCTAACTAATGTCTACCACTACTGGAACAGGAGATTCTCAGTAGATCATCCATCCATCTTTGATATTACTTTGTTTATGCTGTCACTACCAAAGGTGATATAGTTAAAGCAAATTTGTTACAAACACTCTGTACACAAGTCTTTAATGTGCTTGTGTTTTGGAAAATTCAATGGAATCATCCACTAAGTTACCTTAAATGAACACACATGAAAATCTTTGTCACTCTTCAATCCATCTTAATTTTGTATAGTTCGGTACACAAATTTATCTTAATGAATGACACTTAAATGTAAATGATGATATTTTACCGCCCCAGTCTGAAATTAGTGATTGATCGGTTATTCTGAATTCCTAAAATAAAAGAATTTGTAAGTTAATAAGGTTCATCACTTGATATTATTTTCTATGTTGCAGCATCAAGAGATTGTCTATTGCAGTACAGTATAGACCTTTGGCTCGGGAGTGTTCCTATGAATGCTTCTAGTTCACTTCCATAAATGTAAGTTACAGATTAATTTACTTTTAGGCATTTATTAACGTACTGAGAGCTTTTGAAATATAGTGATGATATTTTACCGCCCCAGGCTTATAGTTGTGATTGATTGGTTTTACTGACAGTTTGTTATACGTACTTTATTATGATGAACAAATAAGGCCCACCACTTAATGTTAACATTGTTTCTCACAGGTACTGGAGGTTCTACAGTACACTATATATGGGATGAAGTACAGAGGTCCCACCTTTGGATTACATAGTGGTAAGTTATATTCACGAGACTTAAACTACTGTCCTGTAATAGCACAATCTATTAAGTAGTTCTCATTGTGCAGCTGGGAAATCCACTAAAAACTATTCCTAGTTCTCTTGGGGATGAAACCTCTTAGAAAAATTTCAGGAATCAACTCTTAGCTCTTTTTACTTTCCCTCCTTCCTACATTAGAACATTTGCTTTTCACTTAGAAATTTTGTACTATTTTCTTTGCCCATGTCACACTGAAAATGTTAGTAAATACTTTAAAATGGTATATAAAAAGCATGGATTTTTTAATGTTCTTGTTGATCGATAATTTTACAATTTGATAATGATGATTTTCACCGCCCCAGTCTGACTGTTATGACTGACTGGTTCATCTGAATCGTTTGTATATAATGGTTATGAATGTATCAAATCCACTGTTTAATATTAATTTGTTTTCCACATCTGCAGGTAATAAATGACGAGGAGTGGACTTGCCTTTTCTAAAACGTTTACCTGTATCTTCAGTTGAAACTCATAATGGTAAGTAAACACTTGCTTTAACCAATTTTTTATACCGTTCTGTACTTAGATATATTTAGTGTCACACTCCATTAGGTTACCTCCATTAGCTCTATAGTAAGGTTTTTTTTTTAATTGGTCAAAGTCTTTATCAGACAATTTTCCTCACTCATGAGAATGTACCTGAAAAAATGTCATCAATCCTTCTAGTTGTTTAATGTATAAAACACTGCTAAATGTAACAGATTAAGCTTAAGAATGGATGTACAGTAGCAACAGTATTTTAGAGAATGACATTTTAAATGTATCTTGATTTTTTTTACCACCCGAGGCCAATACTAGTGATGATTAATTGGTTACTCTTAATTCGAAAAATATAGTTATATCATTTTGTAAGTTATCACACCCCTTCTCAATTTAAGGGCATCTTCTAACTATTGTCTACCACTACTGGAACAGGAGATTCTCAGTAGATCATCCATCCATCTTTGATATTACTTTGTTTATGCTGTCACTACCAAAGGTGATATAGTTAAAGCAAATTTGTTACAAACACTCTGTACACAAGTCTTTAATGTGCTTGTGTTTTGGAAAATTCAATGGAATCATCCACTAAGTTACCTTCATATTTGTTAACCTCAAATGAACACACATGAAAATCTTTGTCACTCTTCAATCCATCTTAATTTTGTATAGTTCGGTACACAAATTTATCTTAATGAATGACACTGAAATGTAAATGATGATATTTTACCGCCCCAGTCTGAAATTAGTGATTGATGGGTTATTCTGAATTCCTAAAATAAAAGAATTTGTAAGTTAATAAGGTTCATCACTTGATATTATTTTCTATGTTGCAGCATCAAGAGATTGTCTATTGCAGTACAGTATAGACCTTTGGCTCGGGAGTGTTCCTATTAATGCTTCTAGTTCACTTCCATAAATGTAAGTTACAGATTAATTTACTTTTAGGCATTTATTAACGTACTGAGAGCTTTTGAAATATAGTGATGATATTTTACCGCCCCAGGCTTATAGTTGTGATTGATTGGTTTTACTGACAGTTTGTTATACGTACTTTATTATGATGAACAAATAAGGCCCACCACTTAATGTTAACATTGTTTCTCACAGGTACTGGAGGTTCTACAGTACACTATATATGGGATGAAGTACAGAGGTCCCACCTTTGGATTACATAGTGGTAAGTTATATTCACCGAGACTTAAACTACTGTCCTGTAATAGCACAATCTATTAAGTAGTTCTCATTGTGCAGCTGGGAAATCCACTAAAAACTATTCCTAGTTCTCTTGGGGATGAAACCTCTTAGAAAAATTTCAGGAATCAACTCTTAGCTCTTTTTACTTTCCCTCCTTCCTACATTAGAACATTTGCTTTTCACTTAGAAATTTTGTACTATTTTCTTTGCCCATGTCACACTGAAAATGTTAGTAAATACTTTAAAACGGTATATAAAAAGCATGGATTTTTTAATGTTCTTGTTGATGGATAATTTTACAATTTGATAATGATGATTTTCACCGCCCCAGTCTGACTGTTATGACTGACTGGTTCATCTGAATCGTTTGTATATAATTGTTATGAATGTATCAAATCCACTGTTTAATATTAATTTGTTTTCCACATCTGCAGGTAATAAATGACGAGGAGTGGACTTGCCTTTTCTAAAACGTTTACCTGTATCTTCAGTTGAAACTCATAATGGTAAGTAAACACTTGTTTTAACCAATTTTTTATACCGTTCTGTACTTAGATATATTTAGTGTCACACTTGATTAGGTTACCTCCATTAGCTCTATAGTAAGGTTTTTTTTTTTATTGGTCAAAGTCTTTATCAGACAATTTTCCTCACTCATGAGAATGTACCTGAAAAAATGTCATCAATCTTTCTAGTTGTTTAATGTATAAAACACTGCTAAATGTAACAGATTAAGCTTAAGAATGGATGTACAGTAGCAACAGTATTTTAGAGAATGACATTTTAAATGTATCTTGATTTTTTTTACCACCCGAGGCCAATACTAGTGATGATTAATTGGTTACCCTTAATTCGAAAAATATAGTTATATCATTTTGTAAGTTATCACACCCCTTCTCAATTTAAGGGCATCTTCTAACTAATGTCTACCACTACTGGAACAGGAGATTCTCAGTAGATCATCCATCCATCTTTGATATTACTTTGTTTATGCTGTCACTACCAAAGGTGATATAGTTAAAGCAAATTTGTTACAAACACTCTGTACACAAGTCTTTAATGTGCTTGTGTTTTGGAAAATTCAATGGAATCATCCACTAAGTTACCTTAAATGAACACACATGAAAATCTTTGTCACTCTTCAATCCATCTTAATTTTGTATAGTTCGATACACAAATTTATCTTAATGAATGACACTTAAATGTAAATGATGATATTTTACCGCCCCAGTCTGAAATTAGTGATTGATCGGTTATTCTGAATTCCTAAAATAAAAGAATTTGTAAGTTAATAAGGTTCATCACTTGATATTATTTTCTATGTTGCAGCATCAAGAGATTGTCTATTGCAGTACAGTATAGACCTTTGGCTCGGGAGTGTTCCTATTAATGCTTCTAGTTCACTTCCATAAATGTAAGTTACAGATTAATTTACTTTTAGGCATTTATTAACGTACTGAGAGCTTTTGAAATATAGTGATGATATTTTACCGCCCCAGGCTTATAGTTGTGATTGATTGGTTTTACTGACAGTTTGTTATACGTACTTTATTATGATGAACAAATAAGGCCCACCACTTAATGTTAACATTGTTTCTCACAGGTACTGGAGGTTCTACAGTACACTATATATGGGATGAAGTACAGAGGTCCCACCTTTGGATTACATAGTGGTAAGTTATATTCACAGACTTAAACTACTGTCCTGTAATAGCACAATCTATTAAGTAGTTCTCATTGTGCAGCTGGGAAATCCACTAAAAACTATTCCTAGTTCTCTTGGGGATGAAACCTCTTAGAAAAATTTCAGGAATCAACTCTTAGCTCTTTTTACTTTCCCTCCTTCCTACATTAGAACATTTGCTTTTCACTTAGAAATTTTGTACTATTTTCTTTGCCCATGTCACACTGAAAATGTTAGTAAATACTTTAAAACGGTATATAAAAAGCATGGATTTTTTAATGTTCTTGTTGATGGATAATTTTACAATTTGATAATGATGATTTTCACCGCCCCAGTCTGACTGTTATGACTGACTGGTTCATCTGAATCGTTTGTATATAATTGTTATGAATGTATCAAATCCACTGTTTAATATTAATTTGTTTTCCACATCTGCAGGTAATAAATGACGAGGAGTGGACTTGCCTTTTCTAAAACGTTTACCTGTATCTTCAGTTGAAACTCATAATGGTAAGTAAACACTTGTTTTAACCAATTTTTTATACCGTTCTGTACTTAGATATATTTAGTGTCACACTTGATTAGGTTACCTCCATTAGCTCTATAGTAAGGTTTTTTTTTTTATTGGTCAAAGTCTTTATCAGACAATTTTCCTCACTCATGAGAATGTACCTGAAAAAATGTCATCAATCTTTCTAGTTGTTTAATGTATAAAACACTGCTAAATGTAACAGATTAAGCTTAAGAATGGATGTACAGTAGCAACAGTATTTTAGAGAATGACATTTTAAATGTATCTTGATTTTTTTTACCACCCGAGGCCAATACTAGTGATGATTAATTGGTTACCCTTAATTCGAAAAATATAGTTATATCATTTTGTAAGTTATCACACCCCTTCTCAATTTAAGGGCATCTTCTAACTAATGTCTACCACTACTGGAACAGGAGATTCTCAGTAGATCATCCATCCATCTTTGATATTACTTTGTTTATGCTGTCACTACCAAAGGTGATATAGTTAAAGCAAATTTGTTACAAACACTCTGTACACAAGTCTTTAATGTGCTTGTGTTTTGGAAAATTCAATGGAATCATCCACTAAGTTACCTTCATATTTGTTAACCTCAAATGAACACACATGAAAATCTTTGTCACTCTTCAATCCATCTTAATTTTGTATAGTTCGGTACACAAATTTATCTTAATGAATGACACTGAAATGTAAATGATGATATTTTACCGCCCCAGTCTGAAATTAGTGATTGATCGGTTATTCTGAATTCCTAAAATAAAAGAATTTGTAAGTTAATAAGGTTCATCACTTGATATTATTTTCTATGTTGCAGCATCAAGAGATTGTCTATTGCAGTACAGTATAGACCTTTGGCTCGGGAGTGTTCCTATTAATGCTTCTAGTTCACTTCCATAAATGTAAGTTACAGATTAATTTACTTTTAGGCATTTATTAACGTACTGAGAGCTTTTGAAATATAGTGATGATATTTTACCGCCCCAGGCTTATAGTTGTGATTGATTGGTTTTACTGACAGTTTGTTATACGTACTTTATTATGATGAACAAATAAGGCCCACCACTTAATGTTAACATTGTTTCTCACAGGTACTGGAGGTTCTACAGTACACTATATATGGGATGAAGTACAGAGGTCCCACCTTTGGATTACATAGTGGTAAGTTATATTCACAGAGACTTAAACTACTGTCCTGTAATAGCACAATCTATTAAGTAGTTCTCATTGTGCAGCTGGGAAATCCACTAAAAACTATTCCTAGTTCTCTTGGGGATGAAACCTCTTAGAAAAATTTCAGGAATCAACTCTTAGCTCTTTTTACTTTCCCTCCTTCCTACATTAGAACATTTGCTTTTCACTTAGAAATTTTGTACTATTTTCTTTGCCCATGTCACACTGAAAATGTTAGTAAATACTTTAAAACGGTATATAAAAAGCATGGATTTTTTAATGTTCTTGTTGATGGATAATTTTACAATTTGATAATGATGATTTTCACCGCCCCAGTCTGACTGTTATGACTGACTGGTTCATCTGAATCGTTTGTATATAATTGTTATGAATGTATCAAATCCACTGTTTAATATTAATTTGTTTTCCACATCTGCAGGTAATAAATGACGAGGAGTGGACTTGCCTTTTCTAAAACGTTTACCTGTATCTTCAGTTGAAACTCATAATGGTAAGTAAACACTTGCTTTAACCAATTTTTTATACCGTTCTGTACTTAGATATATTTAGTGTCACACTCCATTAGGTTACCTCCATTAGCTCTATAGTAAGGTTTTTTTTTTAATTGGTCAAAGTCTTTATCAGACAATTTTCCTCACTCATGAGAATGTACCTGAAAAAATGTCATCAATCCTTCTAGTTGTTTAATGTATAAAACACTGCTAAATGTAACAGATTAAGCTTAAGAATGGATGTACAGTAGCAACAGTATTTTAGAGAATGACATTTTAAATGTATCTTGATTTTTTTTACCACCCGAGGCCAATACTAGTGATGATTAATTGGTTACCCTTAATTCGAAAAATATAGTTATATCATTTTGTAAGTTATCACACCCCTTCTCAATTTAAGGGCATCTTCTAACTAATGTCTACCACTACTGGAACAGGAGATTCTCAGTAGATCATCCATCCATCTTTGATATTACTTTGTTTATGCTGTCACTACCAAAGGTGATATAGTTAAAGCAAATTTGTTACAAACACTCTGTACACAAGTCTTTAATGTGCTTGTGTTTTGGAAAATTCAATGGAATCATCCACTAAGTTACCTTCATATTTGTTAACATCAAATGAACACACATGAAAATCTTTTCACTCTTCAATCCATCTTAATTTTGTATAGTTCGGTACACAAATTTATCTTAATGAATGACACTGAAATGTAAATGATGATATTTTACCGCCCCAGTCTGAAATTAGTGATTGATGGGCTATTCTGAATTCCTAAAATAAAAGAATTTGTAAGTTAATAAGGTTCATCACTTGATATTATTTTCTATGTTGCAGCATCAAGAGATTGTCTATTGCAGTACAGTATAGACCTTTGGCTCGGGAGTGTTCCTATTAATGCTTCTAGTTCACTTCCATAAATGTAAGTTACAGATTAATTTACTTTTAGGCATTTATTAACGTACCGAGAGCTTTTGAAATATAGTGATGATATTTTACCGCCCCAGGCTTATAGTTGTGATTGATTGGTTTTACTGACACTTTGTTATACGTACTTTATTATGATGAACAAATAAGGCCCACCACTTAATGTTAACATTGTTTCTCACAGGTACTGGAGGTTCTACAGTACACTATATATGGGATGAAGTACAGGGGTCCCACCTTTGGATTACATAGTGGTAAGTTATATTCACCGAGACTTAAACCACTGTCCTGTAATAGCACAATCTATTAAGTAGTTCTCATTGTGCAGCTGGGAAATCCACTAAAAACTATTCCTAGTTCTCTTGGGGATGAAACTTCTTAGAAAAATTTAGGCAACTTTAACTCTTAGCTCTCTTTGCTTTCCCTCATTCCTTTATTAGAACATTGTGTCTTTCGCTTGAATCATATGTAAGAAATTTGGTACTATTTTCTTTGCCCATATCACACTGAAAGTGTTAGTAAATACATTAAAAAGGTATATAAAAAGTATTGAATTTTTTTATGTTCTTGTTTTTGATAATGATGATATTTCACCGCCCCAGTCTGACTGTTATGACTGACTGGTTAATCTGAATTGTTTGTATATAATTGTTATGAATGTATCAAGTCCACTATTTAATATTAATTTGTTTTCCACATCTGCAGGTAATAAATGACGAGGAGTAGACTTGTCTTTTCTTAAACGTTTACCTGTATCTTCAGTTGAAACTCATAATGGTAAGTAAACACTTGTTTTTACCAATTTTTTATATCGTTCTGTGCTTAGATATATTTAGTGTCACGCTCCATTAGGTTACCTCCATTAGCTCTATAGTAAGGTTTTTTGTATTGGTGAGTCTTTATCAGACAATTTTCCTCGCTCATGAGAATGTGCCTGAAAAAAAAGAAATCAATCCTTCCAGTGGTTTAATATATAAAACTGCTAAATGTAACAGATTAAGCTTAAGAATGGATGTACAGTAGCAACAGTATCTTAGATAATGACATTTTAAATGTATCCTGAAGATTTTTTTACCACCCCAGGCCAATACTAGTGATGATTAATTGTTAACTCTGAATTCCTGAAATATAGGTATATCATTTTGTAAGTTATCACACCCCTTCTCAAATTTAGGATCAAGTTGGTGGAGGTAAGGTAGAATAGTTTCAGCCTTTTAGGATTGGTACTAGTACATTTGATGTTATATTCATTCTGCTGTCCTCCAGTTACTCAGGCTGGTCCCTGTTAAAGAGACTTGCCCAGTATCTTTTATAATCTTTCTTCTTATTTGCTGCTCCTTTGAACACTAAACGTAAAACAGTCGATCCTTTCTTGTGGCCTGTCTTGTTACCAGTATTAAGATGTTAGTAATTTTAGTAAACTAATCTTTTGAATGAATGGTAGACGGTTATGTAATTGTAGGTGGATGGGTTCTTGAGACCTATAATGATGATACATTACCGCCCCAGTCTGATCGTGGTGATTGATGGGTTAATCTGAATTCTTGAAATAAATAAAAAAAAAATTAAATAGGACCCACCACTAAATCATATTATTTTTCTCATTATAGCTTCATTGAAGATTTCTACCTCCAAATTATTCATATGCATCCTAGCTTTGCCTCTGGTTCAGATTCACAATGGTAAGTTAAAATTAGTTACACAGTAAATTTTATAATTATGCATTTTCACTTCTTGGTTATTCCGTTTTCTTCAACTGTCTCATTTTGTTAAATTTCTTATTTAAATATAGGGTACTTTGACTGTAGGCCACTTTTTTTGCCATGATAGTTGCCGATTACCCAAGAAAAATATATCCGATGCTTGCCTAGTCTTTACTCGAAGGTCAACAATTTAGAGACATGGCCACATGGTCGGTTAAGCTATTTTATTTGTCCACACTACCTGCTAGACATTGATCTGGACTATCTTGTACTTACGGTAGTGAAGGTGTGGAACAACTTACCCCCACCCATCTGAGCAAAGACTACTCTCCCTTCCTTTAAATCATCTCTTAAGAATATCTGTTGTCTAAGTATTAATATTTCTTGTAATACCTACTATATTTACAGTACTTGCTTTTATTGTACCATCAAAACCGTTTTATCGGAAATTATCATGCAAATAGATAAGAAATCACCATTGCAATAAACATATTTGCCAACTAGACATAATCCTGACAGCTATCCTCATGTTCAACCTTAATACTGTACAACCCATGTTGGACTGCTCCCCATTATACATATGTTTTTCATTTCCACTAATTTATGTATATACTTATAATATAAAAAATAAAAATAAATAAATATTGAAGTGATAACTGGTAACAGTATGAGATGTTCTTATTACCACCATGCTATTGTACTATTCCAGATGTTACTAAATGTTACATAATACTTCCTTGAGATAGATGTATAGTATATATTAGGTGCCTAAAAGAGAGCTCAGGTTCTCAGTTGGCTCAGCCATGTTAATATTGTTATATTATCCACTCTGTTTCTGTGTTTTCTGGCTAAATAAACTGTTTCAATTCAATTCACTTACTGTATATTGAAATACAAAATAAAATAATGTAGCTAATTAAAATTGGGAGATGAAGAGCCATAATCACTGCTGTAAGCTTTATCAAGGGGGAAGTATACCACAACAGAGCACATGTATTACTGTCCAGTATTAAGAATAAGGGTAAATGTACAAGTACCATATATATTTTCTTCATTCAGGTCACCCTGTAGGGAAAGGTTAGATAAAAGGATAAAATAATAATTATTAGGACTTTTTCCGAAACAATGAATGATGATATTTTACCGTCCCAGTCTGATGGTTGTGAAGGATTGGTTATTCTGAATTGTTTATACCTAATAATAATAATAATAATACTGTAATAAACAACTTGCCACTAATTATAATTTGTTTGTTACAGTGGCTGGAGATGCTACTGACATGGGCTTCCTTCATATTAAATGCATATCAAATGAGCTCTTGATTATTATAATGGTTAGTACCGTACAAGTTGATCTGAACATAATTTTTAATACATACCTCTATTCAGTGTGTCTCAGTTGAGTGGTCTGAGTAAAGGTCACAACTGTTCAAACTAAGTTACTCAAGGGACTTCTTTGTGATATAAAAGCTCTGTTGATTTATATTGCTCACTAAATTCATTAATTAGGACAATGTCAGCTTTTCTGTAACTGGAAGACCAATAAAGAAATTGTAGTGAAAGTTTGAGTTTTATAAAGTTCTACTTTTATATCCCATAAAGGATGCGATCCTTGCAAAACTCTTGATCACCTGGCTAAGGTCAGTGGTCTACAATATAGTATGTACTGTATACATATCATGTAGGTCCATTTGATGTCACTTTTGAGTTTATTTCTTAGTCATAAACCATTTTCATTGTATCATTGAAATATGAAAGTGGTGGAATTGATGCCCTTTTTACCATCCCTTTACTTCGAATTTGGCCAAATTGAGACCCATCATATGGACCAGGCTACATTCTTGGTACAGTATTTATATTTTCAGTTAATGGTGTATTAGTTTTCTAAATACAGTGTAAATGAGGATAATATAATTCCTGTACTGTACATAATATAGTACATACAATCCTCCCATTACATACGTGTGAAGAGGAATTCAAAACAAACTCATCCTCTGGAAACTACTCCCTTGTCTGTTATTTAGAGTTGAGTACCCTGTACAATACTATTTTCGTGGGTTGATAAGGAATGGTTAAAATAATATGTAAAGTTTTTCATGAATTCAGAACACAATGCACATCAAGTGAATACATTATTGTAGTTGCCATAATCGTGGTGTCTTTTCAAGCAGTAATAGTTGAAACAAGTATGATTTATAGAAAATGTGCAGAAAGTTTTGATGAAATTTTAATGTATGGAATACTTACACCTGTTGATCAAGAACCCCCTACAACTGAGGTTTCATATCCTGATACAACATAATTTTTTTCTCAATACATTACATATTACAATTCTGGTAAATAATCAAACACTAAATGGAAATTCAACACAGTTTTACAAATGTGTGAAAAATTCTTAGTTTTTCAGAGTTGTCTGTGGGTAGAAGTGTGATGTAACAAAAAGTTAATTTGCCAGTTTTATTCTTTGAACCTTAGTAAAGTTACAAATTGTTTAGAAAGCAAACTGAAATGATGCTCAAGGTTTTGGTCTACAAACTGTTGTTTTACCATAAAGTATTTCCACTGTCCACTTCCACAAAACTTTATCACTTCTGTGCTCTGCCTATACTAATATTGAGCACCTTTGGTCATCTAATATATCTTACTCTTATTTTTTACAACCCCAATTACATGTCATAATAAAAGCAAATTTTACATAAATAATGATTTTGTGATTAATCTTAACCCTTGGAGGACTTCTCCCACAGTAATTGCAGTCAAAATAACCAAGTTGCAATCCCCATCCGTATTATGTTAAAGCTCTTAAAATTTATTGTCACATAATGTACCTTATACAAATTTTTACAAACAATAGTTCTATAATGTTTCATAAACCAAATTAAACAACCATGACTACTCAGTGTTCTCTACTGTATGGGCATACCATGCATTCTTAGGTGTCACGACAAACTTAAATGACCACTATAATAGATGTCTCGCACTATTGGCGACGTAGCACTTTAAACAGTGTGACTGTGTTTCTTACATCAGTTTTAAACCACCATGGTTACAAGATTATTTTTACACCACTACAATCATGGTGACGTAATGCATCCCTTTGTCAGATTGTTTCAAATAATTTCCACAATTATTTGTAGTTTCAATATGTAACTATTTTACACGTGAATGAAAGAAGAGTACGGTACTTATGATAATTCTTGAAGTAGTGGTAGACCTCTTTGTTTAAGACTTAAAAGTAGATACAGGGCGGTTCCTCTTGCGGGCCTTTGCTTCCACTATCATCTGTGCTTGTCTCTTGATGAACTTCCTGGTGAGGCTCTCTTCCTCCTCCCCGCTGTCTGCACCCTCCTCAGCCTGGTGGAAATGTGGTGAGTTTCAGAATTGAAATAAACATATATTACATTAGTTATTAAACTACAGTATGTCATGCAAGTTCAACATAAACAGCAGGTACAGTATACAAGCCATTGATAAGTACTGTATGTGTCGTTTTAATCGAGGATAATCCAATAAAATTATTAAAAATAAATTTCCGTTGGGGTCCTTATTGGGGTTGAGGTGACTGATCATATAAGGATGAACATATAAAATGGATATGGTAAATAAATTTCTTGTACTTAGTATACAACTTTGACAGTACTGTACTACAATGTACTTAATTAAGTGACTTCTTGTTTAATTATGATGTTTTTGTTTCATTTAATGTATTGTGGAACATTTACCCATTGACAGCTTTAATTTTGATAACTTCAACCATTACTATACTGTATTGAGAATTTTGGGTAAGCAGACAAATGTGATCAGTAGTATGTATTAAGAAGCAAGGTAAGCACAGCATACCCTATGAAATGATTGTAAAATGGATATTCTTGGTAGACAATTGTTTTTCAATAATTTTATTTCTACTTTTAGTAAAAAGAAACGAACAACCATATTTGTGATTTTATTTTAAATATACTTAGTAGAAACTTCTTAGACAGGTGTTTGACACTGTTATGCAATGGAAGGCACTGCCCTCAGCCCTACACTCATATAGGTCACCAGTGCCAGAGATTGGATGAAAGCTATAAATCTAATTGCACTCAGCTCTTTCTATCTTATCCAAATAAATATAATGCAAACCAACCTAATATACTCTGAAGAATATTCAGATCCAGGAAATTTGCATCGTTGGTAGTTATTGATCATAAATAATTGTTCAGTATATATTTTCCTGAGTTACATTTAGGGTAGCATGGGAAGTCCACCTTTGGATTCAGGTGGGATAAGTTGTCAGCGACATCTTTGAGAGTGAAGTTGTTTCCACACTCGGTCTATGATGCAGTCACATAACTCAGATATTGCAGTAATTATAAAGCTATGTACACTTTCTTTTGTGTAGGGTACTTGTTTATGTTATGGAGAAGAAATTTCTTCTGTTTTGTTCATGTTTACACCACATTTTTTGCATATTTGTAAATTTCTTTCTTTGTGTGTTCATTCTTCAGCTCTGGTAAATAACCGATCACAGTGCTGACTTCAGAATTTCTTCATGCCATGTAACTGATTGAGATTTTGTTTATATGGTTTGGTAAAATTTCTTTAGTTTCCATAGGAAAATTCTTCATTGTAATTAGACAAAACATAGAGCCACCATTTATTCTAGTGCATGAGTGGCAAAGATAGTCTGTTCTTTATTGTATTTAATTTTCAGTAGTTTTTAAGCTAACTTTTGTAAATTTATGATGCACTGAAGTGTAAAGCTTTCAAATGCCTAACCTGTTGTTGAGCTGCTTTAGTCGTGGCAACTGAACCAGGGAAGGATACCCTGATGTTTTCTGGAGAGGTCATCATTCCTCCATTATCCTTCTCTTCCTCCACCATCTCTGCCAACTTTAAAAAAAAAAAATTACATATAGATAATATTTACTGGTATATGCAGTACTGTGTATGATACCTAAACCTTGTAAAGATTTTTTGTACTGTTACATCTTAATATAAAAAAATAATCTATCTCTCATCATATTCAGACCAATTAACTTTTCACCAGTGAAAGTCTTTCAATCAGAACAAAACCATACAATATTTGGTAAAATGGTGGGGTAGTATTCCTTGATGTAACAGTGAACACTCCTAAATTATAAAATTGTCTTGGGAAATCTTTAGGAATAGAAAACCTTTGTTCTACTTGCAGATAACCATACAAATCTCACTTTATATCTTACCTTCTGTTCCATCTGTGCAGAGCTGACTTCCTCCATCAGCTCCTCAGCTCGGTCAGTACAGTAAGACATCAGCACCAATAGATACTGTAGTGGAGACTCAGCACGGGGGGGCCGTTCGTGCTCTGCTGTCTGTTAAAGGTGAATGTGTGGATTACCATTACTTATTAGTAACATTTTATTTTCATATTGTATAATTGTGGTTAGTTATGGCATTTTTTCCAATAAAGGGACTGTTTGTAATAATAACTTATTTCATGTGTTGAATGACAGTAAATGTAGACCATTAGATATATTAATGTGGCAGCAGTTATTGCTTCTGAATTTTTATGCTGTATATATAATTGAAATTGCAAGGTTAGTTTTATATAGCAGAATAGAAACTAGTCCTTGTTTTAAGAAACAAAGGTATCCGTGTTAGTCCATCGGGTTTAATAACTGGCTGTACCCATCATCATCCACACACATCAGGCTTATACACTAACCAAATGAAGTTCAAAGAAAGGGAAGGAAAAGTAACTGCATTTAGGAACTTAACAAGTTCATGCTTATTTTTTCATTAAGCATTCCATGATGTTTCTCATATATGTAGTGCATAATACTGGTAACACAAGTGTCATCTTATCCCTCGACTTCTTACTTGTTCGGTATGATTTATAGTAAGACATTATGAATTAAAAACAAAACGACTTCCTGGCATGGTATGGTGTCAGTAGAAGAGCCCTGTCTTTGTTCCCCATCCACCAGTAACTTTTCATTAAGGTGGGGATTTTAGCCTGAGGTAATTGACTGGATGGTGGTACTGTACTTGTACTGTACACTTATAGGGTACACTTGAAACTGCCCCACTAATGCTTCCTATTATTTATATTGAGATTATATTCTCAGCCAGCTTGATAGGGGCTACATAAGACATCTACCATAGCTAATCCAACATTTTATAAAAAAAAATCATTTCTGTTGTAAAATATTGTTAAACAAAATTCTTGGTGTAGATTTCCAACTTTTCTTCGTGTGATTTCATGGCTTTGAAATTAGTACAGTACATACTGTACATTGAAATGATCTAAGTACAGTACTGTATAAGTATGGTCACCTCTAGCTTCTCAGCAACATGCTCAAGACCAGCCCGAACCCCCGCCAGGACCTTAAGGGTGCTGTCCAGGCGGCTTGACAGATCCTCTCTCATTGATTCTTTTTCATGCACCTCCTTCTTCAGGTCACCTATCACGCCAACCATCCTGCAGGTGAAGGTTTTAGGAAATTGCTAAATGCAACTATTTTTCATAAGTCATAGTACAATAGTATTAAGTTTATTGTACTGTATTTTGTAATTAGAAAACTCCAGTTGGACATTGAACACTTGATACATCCCATGAATTCATATACTAGTAAGTGTGGTAAATAACATTAATATTATGTCTAAAAATAATGATAAAAGCATTGCATCAGCTTCCATGGAGTTGACATATGCTGGAAGAAAGAGTCAGATGGGTGATGAGTAAAGATTGTTATAAACAGGCAAGGTTAATCAAACCCTCAGAGTACATTTGTTAAAGCTAAGTGGAAGGGAGGCAAAAATCCTTTCAAGTACTACTTACACTGAGCAAATTCATAATAGGGAAAAGTATGTCCAAGTTTGTGAACCAGGAAAGCTGTTGTTTGCTTCTGATACCATTCTCTGTCTGGCGTGCATGGTCCTTATTATGCAGGAGTCACCAATGCCGGATTGATGATTGTGTCTCGGCATAAATAGTAATACCTGTAGTGGATTGCATTATCCCAAAACACCTTCACTATGAATGGAAAGCAATAAGAATATGCAGAGTTAACTCAATGCACTTACGTAATGTTCCTATGGTAACCCAAATGTAAGTACAGTACATGTACTGTATACTATAACTGTATTTATAATGTAAAGTCTCGGGGCTTTATCTTATGATACTTCTCGATTCTCTTTGTTTAAATAGGTACACAAACAAGTAGCCAGCAGTAACTTGACAGCATAGAATGAATGACCTGCCTAGAGTGACAAATAATAATAGTGGACTCGAAGTTCTTTGGAGCAAAACACTTCGACTTAAGGTGAGACCTTGTGTAGTGTTTGATATGTTACAAGTTCTTAAGGGATGTGTTCTTAAGTGTGTGTGCTTCTAGGTACAGTAACCCCAAACTCACCTGGCAGCATCTTCGGTTGTAGCATACTTAACACGGTGTAATTCCTCATGCATCTGTTCCTTCTCCTGCTTCAGTCTGGTCACTTCCTCAAGGGTGACAGAGCGCAACTGACGAAGGTGTTCCCGTGTATTGCCCTGCGTCGTCAGTCGCTCGACTACCTCATCAACACTCGTCACACCCAACACTTCCTGCATCAATATACACACCTCAACACTCTGGCTCAGTAGGATTTTAGAGCTTTGCTTAACAGAATGCAAAGTAAATATGTTAAGAGAATAGAGTGAAGTTAATAAAACGAATGCCGAAGACAATTGTTTGCAACACTGGTGCTGACCACAGGCTACACACATCTTTTGCCTGCTTGAATGATATACAATACTGTATGTGTAGGTTAATTCTGATACTAATATAGGAACTACCTGTATCTTTTGCAGATAGGCCACACCTTTTCTGAGGACATATGTCTATCAGTATAATTATTTAATTTGTACTGCTGTACTTTGATATATCTATTGAAGTTCATTTGTTTATGTATTCCCATAACATAAAACAAAGCCTAGTCATTATGTTTCTTGTTAGTCCTCGTGAAATGTAACTTACTATCATCAGTAGAGCCAGACCTGCCTCTCTCACCTTCAGGTTGGTGAAAACTTGTTGATATTTTTCGAGCTCTGCCTCCACCTGCTCATGTGAGTCGTGGGTGAGGGCTGAGGTGGGCGAGTCCCTCCTGGTTGGGGTGCGCAGGAGGGAGAGACGACGGTCGACTGCTGCTCCCAGGTCATGAGCCCGACGCTCCTCGGCCCGGCGCCTGTCACAATCAATGTCACTCGGGTTACTTAGGATAATTCTGGACAAAAGATTTAAACCTAGGTATCCAGGGCAGGAGTTTTCAAAGGTTCAGAAGTTGAACTTTTATGGATGTGCTTAATTATTTCAGTTAAATAAAGCATCCCACTAGGAATACAAGTACACTATTAAGCCAATGACTCGATAACAAAGTTAACCTGTAGAGTTATAGGGGCAGTTGAAAAACTGGCAGGATGTTTTGGTGTTTAGATTAGGCAACATTGATAAAGGGGAATATGATCACAAGAAAATCCAAGATTTTTTTGTAAACCTCTGTCTATGTTACTTAAGTACAATTTATGACTTGCCATGTGGTGTGCCTCCACCTCTCACCTGAACTCAAAAAGCCTCTTTTCTCTCTCCCTCTTGGTCTCATATGCACACTCCTCAACGTCGTGAAGACGGGTCCTCAACGAGTCTCTTGTCCTCTCAGCGTTCTTCCGACTCTCCTGGTGATGGGGATGGCATGTAATATTTATATCATTTTCATTATGGCATTATGGACAGGTGAACATAACTTCATAATTTATGAAAGCTTGGGTCTAAGCTCATTTGTTTGGCTTCCTCTACAAGCTTAGCAAATCCTTATTGCTAGATATTCATGATAAAGTTTGGAGTAGCACTGGTGTGAGAGGTAAGGATGACACCTTTACTTGTGCAGTTCCTGGAGGGAAGAAGTACAGTATGGTCTTCAACTACATAGTCAATTGTCTAATTAAAGTGAGTTATGATGGCAACATTGTCATGTGTGTCAATAGTTATGTTGAGAATCATCTAAAAATGTCAAATCCATGGGAAGTTATCCAGTTTTGGTGTGAGGTTCCAAAATCTGCCTACCAATTCTCTCTGGAATTAAGGACACTAGGCTGAGAGGCTGTGGGTACTTCAACATGGACATCACAGTAATCATATACCTACAGTATAGAACGGTATCTGGTAATATTCCTAAAGTTAATGAATCGGTAAAGGGAAAGCAAATTTCGCAGGCGATCTCTGATAACATTCTTGATTATAGCATTATGACTACTAAATTTCCTCTGTATTTATGGTAAACCTGTATTTTTTAACTGGAAAGGGGGTATTGACAAGGTAAGGATGAGGATAACTTTGTTGGTTTACTCCTGGGTGGTACAGTACTATACAGTATGCATTAATGACATTAATCAAATGTTTATTTTCATCTGAGAATGACACCTCAGAGGTGGACTCCTTCTTACCAACAATTTTATTAAGAACACACATATAGTTTAATTTGTAAGCATTTGCTTGTGTATGTGTGTATGCATGTACAGTCACTCAAAAAACTATCTATACTTGAGGGGATCTTTGAATTTCAGAATGAACACTGTGACTCCTGTTGTCTCAATGGGGTTGCAAAAAATCCTTTGTCTGTTGCTTTATTTTTTCAACACAATTTTGTATAGATAGATTTTTTGACTGACTGTAGGTATATACAGTATATATATGTTGTATAAAGTATGTATGCATACTTGCTGAAGAACTTACCCGAAGGTTCTTAAGGGTGTCCTTCTCTTCCGCCAGCCTGACCTGCAGGTTGTCGAGGGTGGTCCTGTAGGAGGCCGCCTCACCCTTAAGTGCCGTCACCATGGCACCATACCTCCGCTTCACGCCCTCGGCCTCCGTCACGCTCACTCCCACACGATCAAGCTCGTTCTCCAGTCCTATCAGGTCCTGAAGGATAGTGATGATAACAGTTGTAGTAATATCATAAAAGTGATAATACTAACAGTATTAATTTTGATTAAAAATAGTAATAGTACTGTAGTAGTAATGATGATAATACTGCTACTACTACTACTAATAATAATACAGGGGGTCCCCGACTTACAAACGCCCACCGACACGAACGGGGTTAAATTTGAAATTTATAGTATTTTATTTACCTGATGATATATTTTTTACTTTCATTTACTGTATTTTGTCATTCTGTTTCTTCTTTTGTCTTAAATTAAGTGATTTTTAGATGTATAAAAGGACTTAGGTTATGATAAAGTGGGATTTTAAACATTGTTCTGGAAGTAAAGTGTGCACATACCATGTGTTCCAACTCAGGTACAAATCCGACTTAAGAACGTCTTCAGGAACAGAACCCATTCGTAACCTGGGGACCCCCTTTAGTTATAGTACTAGTAGTAAGGTAACTGAATTACTGAACATTTAGTGTATGTGTGTCAGACCTGCTGCAGTTGGGTGATGGTGCGCTGCTCGTCCTGGGCTCTCTCAGATGCTGCCTCTCCTAGCTGCTTTTTCAGCGACTCCAGGCGTTCCTCACGCTGTGGGGACATGGTTAATATGCTATTTAGTGGACACTGTCAGTGCATTCAATAATGGACACTGTTAATACAATAGTTAGTTGATTTTCTCTGTGTTAATTAGTGACTACAGTCAGTGCGTTAATTACTAGACATGGCTGACATTGGGATACTAACACACTCCTCTCCAGTGGTCATTCAAAATATCGTCTCCCTTACACCCCCCTTCACCTAGTGTTCCCTTCCTTACACCCTCCCTCACCCCATATCTCCTTACCCCTTGAGCCCCCCCCCCCGACCCTGCCTCCGTCGAAACTGACCTGCTTGGTGGTGTGTTGGAGGAAGTTGAGCCTCTTAACCAAGTCATGGAGCTTGTACTCAGATGCCCTGATGGCCCCATCTGCCTTCTTCACCCTAACAGGGGCGCTGACGGCACGGCGACGCTGTTGTAACACCCGCTCCACACTGCGCTCGCTCCCCTGTGAGGAGTACAACACTCTTGACACACTCATGTTGGCCCTCTTGCCTCATAACACCCACACATTCATATTGATCCTCTTGCCTCATAACCACACACTCACATTGGCCCTCTTACCTCATAACAACCACACACTCTTATTGGCCCTCTTGCCTCATAACCACACACACTCACATTGGCCCTCTTACCTCATAACACCCACACACTCTTATTGGCCCTCTTGCCTCATAACCACACACTCACATTGGCCCTCTTACCTCATAACAACCACACACTCTTATTGGCCTTCTTGCTTCATAACATCCACACACTCACATTGGCCCTCTTACCTCATAACACCCACACACTCTTATTGGCCCTCTTGCCTCATAACCACACACTCACATTGGCCCTCTTACCTCATAACAACCACACACTCTTATTGGCCTTCTTGCTTCATAACATCCACACACTCATATTGGCCCTCTTGCCTCATACATCACTCTTAACATCTACCAATGCTTTGGACTGTATCAAACTGTTAATGACAGTACCAATCAGTGGACGGTACAGTACCTGGTTGGCCTCTTCGATCTTAACATGAAGAAGTTTGATCTCCGCCCTGAGTGCTGTGATGGCGACCTTATTCGCCTGTTTCTCTCCCTCGCTCTCCTCGTAGAAGGCCTTGCTCTCTCCCTCTGTATGTGAGACATGTCACTGGCCAATTGGATCCCAACCTAATCCAATCAGTATTATTTGGGCCCCAGATCATTAATTGAGTAGGTTAGAATACTTGGAGGAGATGGACCACACGATTTCCTGACTAATTCTCAGAACGAGTGTGTGTGGAGCAGGTTGCTGTAAGTTAGTAAAGGGTGAAATTTTAATACTTCTTGATATTTATTATCAATGACGTATGTTTGGGTGAGTATGCAAAGTGGTTTCATAAAATTACTCCTATTACTATAATTATGTAAAATTCGCATTTTCCTTTATTTAATGTTGATACTCATTCATTAATGGCATTCCTTTCATGATAGACATACTTAATATAGAATAGATAACGCATTTAATCAGAATTAGAGTTATGATTTAGAATATGAATGGGAAGGTTATTTGATTCTGGGAAGTTTAATGCATATTAAATTGTGATGAGTCATTCAGATTGCGAATTCAGGGTTTTTTTCACAGATTTTGCCAATACAATAGTTTACAATATCGTGGTATTATTTTATGATCTTATAAAACACTGATTCACGTTGTGTGTGTGTGTGATGTAATGGTCAGCATGCAAGTGGATCCGGATTCGATCCCCGGGCAGAATGAAACTATGGGCAGGTTTCTTTACGCCATTTGTCTCTGTCTACCCAACAGTAATTGGGAACCTGGATGTTAATCGATTTGCGGATCGTATTTCAGGGTAATGGTTAGCCAGTGCAGTTGGCGAGTTGTCTGGTCTTCTCGGACTATTCCTTGACTATTCATTACATTTTATATCAAATGCTTCAATTATCGAGGTTATTAAACACTCTTGTTGACACTATTTTTTTGATGTCCCATTAATTATATATAACCGAGGGAAGGATGAGGGTCAGCCGGCAGCCACAACAAGAGTGTAGGTGGTAATGGAAACTGCCCAGGGAACAAGTAAAGAGGAGGGGGAGATAAAGAGAAAGAAATAAAAGAGAAAAGTTTTAACAGAGAGAAAGTGTGAAAAATTGGGAGAAAGAAAGGGAGACAGAAGTGTGGATGAAAGAAAGAAAAATGAAATGTCATTCAAGTTGACCACGAGTGAAAACTTAATCTTATGTTGATTTACTTATTTTTTATCTGTAAAGTATAATACCACGAGGTAAGATAATTTTTTTGTAATCTTTAATGACACTTCTTCGATAAAAAAAAAGATACATTAATATTTTGTTGTGAATGCGTAGTCAAATTTATAATAGTGCCCGCCTCTCTCCCTGTCTGGTGCTGGACGTTACCAAATCATCATAATTATTTCATCTATTTTACTCAATATAATAATCCTGAATTATTTCAAGTAATGTCTCAGTGTCACTCTGTCTTTCATTGGTATAATTATTTTTTATCGTAGAACATTACATATAGTATCGTTTAATTGTGTTATTTTTGAGTGGTTTAAAAGTGACCCACCTGAGAGTTGGATCTTCTTTCGGAGGTCCTGAGTCAGGCTGTTGATTTTGGCTTTCTGTTCCGCTATGGACGGCATCGTGCTGGGTCCCTTCTCGTCCTGTTGACAAACGCACACATGTACAATCAAAACGCTCACAAGCACACTCACGCAGCTTTAAAAAGATATTAATCTTCAAATCAGTTCAATTATTGTAGATACTTTTGCAAGCTACGTTTTCAGAAGAATTTCTCACTTGTCTGTACAGAAATTCACTGAAATTATCGGTGTAAGATTTTTAACATCCACGTTTTATAAATATTACTTCCGTGGTTCACTTTTCAGATGTTACTTGCATCTGCCGATAATTTTAAATAATTTTTGGTCTTTTTGCCGACTAAGTTTGGTTAACATTCATTGTTTTGCACTTATCAGAAGGCTTTGTCACGTGGCCTTTAAAAAACTGATCTTTTAACTCTGAAACTATTCTTGATGCTTCTGGTAACCACGTCTTATAAATATTTCCATTGTTTTGTAATGTTATGGAACTATACGTTTTCACAAGACATTAACGGTGACAATACAATAGCAACTTTCAAAGACATTGCTGATTTATGGTAAGATATTGCAATTATTTAACAGGGATGATTTGGGAGACGTGGGCTTGGTCAGTCGTCACAAGACACTTTGAGCCCCTTGCCTCCCGTCACTCCAAGCTGTTTACGCCGGTTGTCATGGTGACCAAGTCACAGGGCGCTTAAACCTCGTCTTGCTTCACTAAATATAATTTATTTTGTTTCTTGAATTGTTATTAATTTTCTACGAGTAAATTGCCTTTTAAACGTGATATTAATTGGGCGCTGAATTGTAATATCACAGATCTAATATCACGTGACCTTTACAGTATGCTGCCATGTGGTAAGGCACACGGTAATATTAACCCTTCTCTCTTACCCACCCGAAGTATAGGTCACTCTAGGGACCTTATAGAAGAGGTCAATGTTTCTCACCTCAAAGTAAAATATTCAGGAGACGAAGTTCAACTCTCAAGTGGGTGTTGATGAGTGATCGACCTCCCGGGGGCTTTGTTGTGTGTGTCAAGGGTGTGTTTGAACTGCGCGCTCTCTCTCTCTCTGGTCTTTATATCCCTCTGTCTATCTCTATCAAAGCTTTTACAGTAATTCTCTCCACAGCGACTGTTTATACCAGGCTGTGATTTGGGGTACCGAAGCCGGATCTCTTTATAACGAAGCTCCGTTATAGGTACGGGATAATGAATGACCTCCACGCAAATTCGGTTGTTGGTCAAATGGGTGAATATTAAGGATGAACAAGACATTCTTCTCTGAATTTGACCTTCTCATATCAAGGTCACCAAGGTCACAGTCACGGTGAGCGCAGGACATCAGTCTTCCTCTTAGTTGTTCATGGTGTGGCTGCTGAATCCTTTGCACTATCGCCTTTAAACTCGAGCGATCAGGTTCCTATGGCTGATCCCTCTAAGCCTCTTGTGTGGTTGGTTGAATCTTAAGGTCAAGGGTACACAGTCAGATCGAAACTGCCTGCCAGCCTCGTCTATCCTGGCTGACTTCAGTGAGGTTTTCGTCCCCATCTCGATTAATGACTAGTTTAGTACCACCAAGGTAGGTATTGTACCGTCAGTAGGTACGTCACTATCAGGAAGGTTCTACGCCGTCAAGTACTGAATCCTGAACCCTACCCGAATAACAAAGAGGAGAACAAGTGAACAAACTGTTAAAGTGTTAGTTTAGTGGACTATTAGTTGTAAAAGTAAACTGGTGCTTTATGAGGTGAAGTATATATGAGAATAAAATAGTGATAATAGATATATTTTATTGCTTTCAGGCTACATGAGTAAAGAAACGGAAACAAGAGGAGAGAGACAATGAGAGAGAGTTCGGATATCCCCACGCTGAAACCTCTACCCTGTTCACTGACGTAACCTAAGTTTCAGAACGTTTGACTCTGCGTCATGTGATGGCCTGAAGCTCTGACCGATACTAAGTGGGAAAACTTCAGCTCATTGCTGGTTATTTCCCCGGCTGAAGCATTTTGATCAGCGTCATCTTGAAAATATTAGGACAAAATATTTTTGTAAATTTGTGAGCTACGTCAAATGCATGTGGAATTATTTTGATAGTACTTTAGAAATATCTGTGTGTCCATCAATCTATTTCTCTTCCCCTACCTTTTTATCAATATTTCTTCCTATCCATCTATCTCTCTTTACCTGTCGATTTCTTTTACTCCTCTTTCTCTCTTTAAATCGATTTATTTATCTCCTAATTACCTATGTAATATTAATATTTTTCTTCTTTTACATGTCACAAATTTAATGTAAGCTATGATTGGTATAGAAAGCCTAATGGATTAACAATTTCACTAGTTGCCAATAAATTAAAGCACAATTTTGTTTAGATAATGATATTATAATAGTCAGCAGAGATATAATTGACATTACAGACTTGAATACTGATTATTTAATGGTGCAATGCCTGGCTGACGGCTCGTCTGTTGTTGCACCAGCTGATCCTGCTACAGGCTGAGTGAAGGATACTGCTGTTACACGTGGTGGTGCCGCCTACCCCTGTACCATTACAAAATTTTCCATGACCAGTTTATTCCACGTCAATAGTAATTCATCTAACCTGAACCTCGCTCGTAAGCGTAGGAGGTGTAGATCATAAATGAAAAACAAAGATTATGTAATTAACAAATTTATTGGCAGAGCTTGTACTACAAGCTCTGCCAATAAATTTGTTAATTACATAATCTTTGTTTTTCATTTATGATCTACACCTCCTACGCTTACGAGCGAGGTTCAGGTTAGATGAATTACTATTGACGTGGAATAAACTGGTCATGGAAAATTTTGAGAGACTTGGATTGCAATCGTTTTCTAAATAGTCGTACGTCTGGCGCAGGCAGCGACAACCTCAGCGAAAACTGGTGTCGGTCAGTGTGAGATCTGGCGTCTCAGGGTGTAGTGCGGTGTATAAGTATTTTTTGAAATTATAAACTGAGTTATGTCATAATGACTGTTTATTTTCACTATGTAATATAAGATGAAATACCGTGAGTGCTGCTCAGGTGGTGATAAATTTGTCAGTTAGTTGACATTTGTCAGTGAATCAGGGCGTGTGTTTTGGTATGGGATTGCGCGTAAGTTTGAATCCCCACTGATGATGCCCGTAGTGTGAAGGAGGCAACCAGCTGTTGCCAATGGTGACTTGCTACTGCTATCATTTATACTGGATTTAAGGAAACAGGTTTATGGACATGGATTCTTTCAATGCTGTCAACTGAAGGCGTCTGATATCTAAAGGTAAGTCCCTGGTCCTAAAATCTTTAAATATGTTCTTTCGTTTATCAGTGAAGATTGGCGTACGACCTGCGTTGAATGACGACTATAGTCTATTGCATTCCCGAGTCAGAGAACCTGTTTATAATGGTACAGGCGGGCTAGGTTTGGTCCGTACGCCCACCTCCCTTGCTAACTTGGAAATTACCCCCTGGCGAAAATGTACTTGATGTTTAAACACCTTGACGTAACAAAGTCGTACCTGTGTAAATGTTTATAATATATTGTTGATTATCTCACCGCTAAGAGTCAATGGACGGTAGTTATTTGTATTGTAACTATATTTCATTCTCAGACTACACTGATAATGAATTTGTTAATTTACTAACAGAACAACTCGATGGTCCCAGTGTTTATTTACGCTTGGTGTACCGCTCTTAAAGCGTCCCTCACAAGTTACAAATCTCCTGCTCGGCCAGTCTAAGGTGTCGGGGAATTACACAAACTACTTTAAATTTATCGTTGAGGACAATATTCCCTCTAGGGTGAGGACGTTGAGTGAGCTCATTGAGGAGTGTTACGGATCCAGGTCACGGGTTCAAAGTTGACAATACTGTTTTTGGAGCCTTTGTGTGTACAGGAGTCTTTAATGTGCGTATCTGGTACAAGCTGACCCCTGAGCGATGTTTGGGCGGCTTTTTTACAGCATTAAGAGTTGGTCTTGGGCCTATGAACACACAATAACATATTTACATACAGACACACACCCAGACTAAAAACATTATCGTGCAAACTCTTTACCCCTGAACTGGCCCCTTATGAAGTCTGTATGAACCTGTGCAGAGGCTGGTGCACGAAGCCCCGCGGCCCTGGTCCAACCTGCTTATGTGTGAGGCTAAGTCAAGGAGATTATTGAGGCCCCGCCTGCTACCCGACAATTATGATCATGCTAACGCCCCAGGTAGAGATACACACAGTGCAGATCTTAGGGTTGACACACAACATCTACCTTCTGTCCTAGACGCTAGAAAGGCTTACTACAGGCGTTACCACGTTAAGAAGTTGAAAGAGTAGAAGTCTCATGAATATTAGGTTATTTATCTTATGATTACAGTATTACTTAAGGTGCATGCCAAACTTTGTGTAAGTTTTTATAGTTTCTGCAAATTCACCAACAAAACCTTGATCGTATTGTAGTTGGTTGGCAAGGTCTTGGGTTACTGTACCCATGATCCCAAGGAAAAAGAAGGTATACTTGTGCACAATGTTTTTATACTCTTGCAATTGCATAACATGGCCGTCATCTCGTGAAGGAAAGCTTTGTCCTCCCAGGCCCCAGCTACACCGCCGAAGGATATTCACCTGCGGGATGCACGGTACTTGACGCGTTTATGGTAATCACAGATACCCCCATGACACCCCAGGACTTGCATAAATTCGTACCCGGGAACACATATCTTATTTTAACTTACACATGAATTTCATATTAACCAAACCTGTCCCAGCAGGGTCGAGAATTTAGAGCTTCAAATTGTTGAAAATATGTGTGATCTTTTCAACGTTTGGACATACATGTATTGCTCTTGCGAATGAAGTACCGAGTTATGTAATCTTATCTAACATCTTATTCTTTCATTAATATTTTTCTATATGTCAAATAAGTAATGAAGCATCAATCACTCATATCGTTCAAAACTAAAGTTTGAGGACTTGAGTTAATCCGCACTTTGTTGCCTAACTTGCCATCAAGAGCAAGAATATCCTAGTGCTGTAAACAAGTCCGTGGGCGTATTTGATTTAGAGGCTCATTATGTTACTCGTAAATGTTCAAGCATTTCATATAAAAGCTTGCTGTCGGCAAACAGAAATTACTTTACATCATAGTTATTTGTAGTCGTTAGGTGTGATATAGTTGGAGGTGGGGGGGTATAATATACAGTACGGTATATACTTGTTGCGTGCTGTGAGTGTTGTCCTCGCTATGCCTGCCTCGATAGTATGGGCGTCATTGTTCACGCAGTACTACCGGAAGTGAAGTGGTGAAAGGAGAGAATAGACAGCTTGGACAGTTATTATTAGCACTCCCGTTATGTACACTCACCGACATTGCTTGTGTCCACGTCGTCATTGTCAGTATGTTTGTCCGTAATATAACTACCGATACACATGTACTTAACACCAACTACCGGCGCATGTTCATGTTACCATACTTATAGAAAGACACATCTGTACCCGTAGGTCCAGGAAACTAAAACCATCACAACCATATATGTAACCTTGACTGCTCTTCCTGTTTATGTAATGTTTTGTTAATCATTTGAAGTTGTTTTAGAACTGTACATCATCGAAATTGATTAAGTAGTATCAGTTCATCACGA